CCCAGCCTTCCAGATCAATCACTGATGCCCTTAACTCAAGGACTAATTTTTCACAACTGTGGTCTGAGTAGAATGTAAGCTCCTTGAGGGTAAATACAGGCATACCTCATTTTATTGCATTTTGTTGTATTGTACTTCTGCTTTATTGTGCTTCAAAAATACTGCTTTTCTTTGCTTTTTTTTTTTTTTTTTACAAATTGAAGGTTTATGACAAACCTGCATCGAGCAAGTCTATCAGCACCATTTTTCCAACAGCTTAGGCTCACATTGTGTCTCTTTGTCACATTTTGGTAATTCTTACAATATTTCAAACTTTTTCTTTATCATTATATGTGTTATGGTGATCAGTGATCTTTGATGCTACTATTGTAATTGTTTTGGGGCACCACAAACCAGGCCTACGTATGATTGTGAACTTAATCAATAAATGTGTGTGTTCTAACTGCTCCATCAACCAGCCATTCCTCTGTCTCTCCCTCTCCTTTAGCCTCCCTGTTCCCTAAGACACAACAATATTGAAGACTATTATATAAACTTAGTTGATAAAGCAGCAGCAGGGTTTGAGAGGATTGACTCCAATTTTGAAAGAAATTCTACTGTGACTAAAATGCTATCCAACAGCATCGCATGTTATGGAGGAATCTTTTGTGAAAGGAGGAGTCGATCGATGTGGCAAACTTCATCGTTGTCTTATTTTAAGAAATTGCCACAGTCACCCCAACCTTCAGCAACCACCAACCTGATCGGTCAACAGCCATTGACATTGAGGCAAGACCCTCCGCCTGCAAAAAGATTATGACTCGCTGAAGATTCAGATGATGGTTAGCATTTTTTTTTAGCAATAAAGTATTTTTTTTTAATTATGGCATGTACAGTTTTTTAGACATAATGCTATTGCACATTTAGTAGACTGCAGTATAGTATAAATATAACTTTTGTATGCACTAAGAAACAAAAAATGTATGACATATTTTATTGCAATATTCACTTTATTGTGGTGGTCTGGATCCAAACCCTCAAAATCTCTAAGGTATGCCTGTACTCTTTCATTTTGTTCTTATATGCCTGGCATACGGCACAGTGTCTGGCATAAAGGATATGCTTAACAAATGCTTATTGGATTGGATTGGATGCCGTATCTAATTTATTTCAGAGGACTAACGGGGAAATATGCCTCCTACTTCTCAACAGAGAGGTGGTAGACTATAGGTGTGGAATGAGGAATATGTTTTCAGATATGTGTTGATTTGTTTTGCTTGAATGTATCTATTTGTTACAAAGTTGGGGGGGTGTTCCCTATAAGGAAGTGGGAAGAGAAAAGAGAAGTCATTGGAAAATAACTGCTATAAAAAGAAAGCAAGAAAACACATCAATGAAACATTTGAAAAGGAAAAAATGGATTTTATTGGATTGCCCTATTGACAAAATAAAGTGAGGTCAGGGAACTAGGAAGGAAAAATTACTCATTCCTGTTTCCCACTATGAAAATTTCCACTGAGGCTGTTCTCAGTGAGGTGTTTATCCAATTAAAACAAGTAAAAGTAAAAAAAAAAATTGAATGCCTGGGAGGCTTAACCCTCCCCCTAATGAATTTCCCCCACACACAAATAGATCTCTAGTCAGGGATTTTCAAGCAGGCAACCATCACCCACTCCTTGTGCTTTAAGTAACCCTCTCTCTCTCCCTCTATCTCCCTCCCCCAAAAAACCCCACCTTTTTTTAAAAACTTTCCAGGGTGTAAACTCAGCTGTGCAAAGTGACCCTGCCCCTCCCTAGGCTTAGTGCAGGGATTTAATAGGCAAATCTGCGAATGTGAGGGGTCTCTGATAGGCACCTGTGGTGTGGGATCGACTGAGAGAGCCAGGCGAGGATCTGGATCATTCATTACCCAGGGTCAGCATCTCTGGGAAAAGTTTCGCCTGCCCATGAGTCTAAAAGATGAACTCTCCTTGTCTGTTGGGGTAAGGAGAGATCCCTAAATTACTGATTAGATAAAGACCAACTGGCCACGTTTCTAGTTTCTTCCTGTCAGCTCCACCCATAGAGCACATGAGTTGTTTCCTCCACCTGAAGGGAAAATCTAGGTTAAAACCTTGCTCTTCTCCTTGTTCTATCCCTTTCAAATGATCACAAATCCCATGACAGTGAGTGTTAGTGCTGGAAAGAGTATCACCCCTGTCTGACTACTGGTTCAAGTTCCAGGTATCACAAGGGTGACTTTGAGAGAGTTACTTCATCCCCCTGGCCCTAGTTCCTCTTCTGTAAAATCAGAGAGCATGTTGGATAATATGATCTCTAAGATCTTCTTGACTTAAAAAAAAATCTCATCTAACTTGACTATGACTGTTAAATTACCAAAATCACCTCAAACAACCCCTGGGGGTAGGGAAATGGGCCGAGAGAGAAGAAACATTGTTTACATTTTTGGATGAGGTCACTATATCTCGTAGGGAGCCAATGGTATGTGTGTGTAGTGGGGCGTTTCCTTCCAACCCCGTCCCAGTTCTTCCTATCCTCAGGGACTTTGGAAAATCCAGATCATACATTCTACTTATGGTAATGGTTGCAAAAAGGCAGCAGTCTTGAGTTAGCAGCATCAGTGCCCTGGAACTGTGGGCTATTGAAACTCTTATCCCTAAGCTGTCGTCTAGAGAACATAAAATGGGGAGAACCAGTTGGAAGAAGCCTCTCTCCTCACTCACTGCCACCACCACACCCCCCCACACACACACACACACAGTTCTAAGGTGTGGTCTGGATTTTTCAGCCGTCTCCCCCACACCTTGTTTTCCTTAATTAACTACCCTCAAGAAGCTGACGTTCTATTGGGGGAAATAACATGTCCAAAGATATATAAATACAAAGCATAAATGTAGCACTCCCTCCCCTGGCTATTTTACCAACTGGTACATACATTGAAGGCTGAGTGGCCAAAGGGCAGCTGCCACTCATAGTTTCTAGGGGTATACTTCTGTGGGAACGCCCGAATGGGCACAAATGACTCTTAGCAAAGGTATTTACTAAGATGGCGTGCCGCAAACAATAGCTGGTAATTACAATTTGGGCTAAGGAGGAGAACAGACCTTGAAAATCCAACCTCCCCAGCAGAGATGTTGCACTCATCTAAGTTAGCTGTGACTATTAAATTGTCATCACCTCAAACATCCCCTGGGGATAGTGAAGTGGATCTGTGAGGAATCTAGAGAGAAAAAGGACTTCCAAGCCCTTTGGTACCAGCAATTATATGCATTACCTTTGCCACATGTGTATCCTACGCGTATGCCTCACCACCATTTTACTCTGTTTGAGGCCACTCTTCTCATGGATGCTACGTGTATTTGTAGATGAGTAAGCCCCAGGTTTATGGGAGGGAGGAATAATAACAATAATTGCTAACATTTATATAGAACTTTAAAATTTACAAGGCACTTTACATAAATTATCTCATTTGATCCTTACAACAACTCTATGATGCAGATGCTATCATTAACTATTATTATTTTATAGATAAGAGAACTAAGTTGAGAGAGGTTAAGTAACTTTTCCGGAGTTATATAGTTAGGAAATATCTGAGGCTAGATTTGAACTTGGCTCTTACTGACTCCAGGTCCAGTGCCCTATCCACTATGACACCTAGCTAGTTGCCTGGAAAATATCATTTTGGCAGCTGTGTGAATGATGGATTAGATGGTATTAGAGCTACACGTTTTAGTCCACGGAATCGAATCTATTTTTCCTCTGAATTTTTTGAAATATGCTCTTCCAAAATCTACAGTGTGGGAGGGTCATTAAAGGTTTTTGAGAAGGGAAATAATGATCAGAATAATGCTGCTTTACAAAGATCACTCTGACAGGGAGATGTTAGGAGGCTATTCATTCCAGTCTTGCCTCCCCCTAGTCTCTGGGGGTCAATGACCCTGCTGGCTTACAAATAGAGAGTCAATTGAGAGTCTTGGGCAGGGGCTGGATCTTCCAAAATACCACAGAGCCTTTTCCTGGCTCTATCAGATACAAATGCTATTTTCTTCCTCTTGGTTCCTGACCTCAGGCAACCCCTACCTCAGAGTGAGACTGTCCAACAGAGTTATGAACTAAAGCAAGAACTCCTGCCTCTCCCCATCCCATCCCCTAGGAATCAGGCTGCTGCCAGTGCCAGAGGAATCTCTGGAGCTAACACTGCCCCTGGGGGGAGGGAGATGCCTGCAGGCAACTACAAAAGCAGGGGGAAATCTCCCAAGTTCTATGTCTCACACTTATATCTCTCAAACCACATCATCACTGATACACACAAACACACAGTCATGAATGGCAAATAAACACATGCTTTCTTTCCTCCACAATCTCAGGCCCTGAATTTCTCTGCTAGTTCTATTTCCTCTTCTCACTCAGCCCAACAGAGGGGAAGCCCAAGGAAAAAAATGTGACTAAAGTGCAAGGACAAAGATCTACCTAGTCAAAGAGATCCTGGATGAGAATTCACCCACCTCCCAAAGACATATGAAATATGAACAAAACTTGATTCTGAAAAGCAGATTAGTAAAAAAAAAAAAAAAAAAAGCTCACACTGTGTGGCAACTGGAATGACTGCACAGAGGCAGATCTCCTCAAACTACAAGTCTGCCCCAGCCAGCTGCTGCTTAGTTGCCTTCCTAAGTCAGTCCAGCTGGAGACTTAGTAGGTCATGTTCAGCAATCAGCCCTGGAAAGTCTGTACTAAAAGCCAACCCTAGGGTCTCAGGGGAAATGGCTAGTGAACTTGTCTTTGGCACGATTCAGGCTGAGAAGACTTGTGCATGATTCTAGCCTAAGAGGAGCCTCTAGGATTAGAATGTCTCTGGGACTAGATTCCCACTAATATTGAATGAAACTGGAGCTTCAGAGAAAAGTGTAGCAGAGTGGGGAAGGAAAAAGAATTTTCATATCAATCCTAAAATCTCCTTCTCCATTTTGGAAGGCAAGAGAGGTAGGCTGGCAAAGATTTGGAGAGTTAAACACCAATGGTATAAAATCAAATGGTCTTCCATTTATCTCTGGAAAGCTAAGCAGCACAGGATGTCTGTTAGCCAAAGGCAAAAGGCTGATGATAACATGAGAAAAGCCACAAATAAGATCTAATGGTAAGTACTCTAAGTGATGTCAAAATAGGCAAAGCATCCATGACTAACACAAGTGAGGTGGGAGACCTGAATAGCACCTGTAATAGGGACGGTTAGGTCAGGGAGAAGGATATAGCTTGGATGATAATGAGAGATGAGGAGGAAAAGGAGGAGGAGGAGGAGGAGGAGAAACTAGGTGATAAGTAAGATCTGTTCATTGCTTGCCCGAGGTCTGGAATATGCACTCAAGCATTGGCATAGGGAAATCAGATATATGTGTGTACATACATACATACATACATACACATGGACACACACTTGGGAGGAACCCAAACGTAGCTACCACTACCCTAACGTCATGTGTTACAGGCTCTGGAAGCCAGTCCCTGGCAGAGTTGCCCAGATGGTGCTATTCCAGTATTGCCCAGGTAAACTCTGAAAGTTTCTTGTTTCTTCTGTCCAGAGCTATCTTCTCAGTCACCCTCACTGACCATCCCAAACAAGATGAAGAGATGGCTGATGTGGGCAGCTTCTTGGATTCTTCCCTCAGTTCTGTACCAAGCTGAAACATAAGAAACAGTTATTCTCTCCTTGTTCTCTGCTAAATAGTTATTTTCTGTTGTTCCCTAGCATCTTATCTGTCCCCAGAAAGTCTACTCCCACTTGTAAGCCTGAGCAGACAGACCAGCCTCCCACCCTGGGACATGGCAGCATTTCCCCAGGCTAACTGACACCAGCAGCCACAGAGAATGCCATAGAATCTCAGGTCTCCTTTCAGAAAAAGAGAGAACAAAAGAGAGACCCTTTCTTCATCAGTTGGTTTGATGATGACAATACAGAACATGCCAAAGACTTGGGAGTTGAGGGTGGGGGAGATAAATTTAGGAATGATTGAGAGTACATGCAAAATAAATACATTGACTTAACAGCCATTTGTCTCCATAGTTACATATTTGTAACATGTCTCTGCCTGAGTCTAAATCCTAAAGTTCCATTAGATGGGGTTGTCCCTACATGCAAAAGAGATTCTGGTCAATAAATAAATGCTTCCTATTTTACAGAGCAGGAAGTAGGGGTCTTGTTCTATGAATACCAAGCCCTACACCCTCAACATTATTTATTTCTAAGTCAGGTAAAATGTATGTAAAAAAAAATTCTAGTATTGTTTACCATGTTACTAAGTTTCTAGTCAAAAGGCTGGACTTAAAAAAGAAAGTCAGCACTATTAAATGAATTAGGGCTTTACTTCTCAAAGATTTAGCAACTTCAAAACTGTGTTTTTACAATGGTTGGCACAAACCTTAACCACCAAAAATGGATGCTTATAAAAATAAATGTTTTTCTGTTTTTCCATTAGAAGTTTAGTGGCTAACTCCATCCCCCAGAGGTGGGGGCGGGGGGGAGGGAAGAATAGGAAAATATTTGCTTACCTTTCAGGGACCTTCATAGTCAAACATCACTCCAAACATCACTCCTGAACTGTTCATTGGCATAACCTTTGATTCTCCAACCTCCAGAAGACTTCTCTCCTTGGCTGTTCCATATATGAATGCTAAGTGCAGGGACCCTGAGTCGGCGACAGACATTCTCACCAGGTTTCAGAGACATGAAGCTGCTTATCACCAATATCAGGAGTCAGACCTTTTCACATTGAAATGTAGTCTAGATGGAGCTCTGTTTATTTTCCAAAGAGATGTAAAGAGGTGGATATAGTAAGCAGTTCCCAGAAAGAACTAAGATCTTAGCAAGTTCTCACTTATTAAGCTGAAAGAAGTCATAATTTCATAGACCTTTCCATAACGTCCCTTAGCTACCTCTCCCCACTAACCCCATCCAAGTCTTCTAAAATAATTTCTCTGGGTGAAATAGGAGGGAACATCGTTTCCCAAAGTCTACTCAGATTCAGCCGATATCCCCTACTCTGCAAACTGATCCTATCATGCTCTTGGCTACCACAAAGCTCACGAGCATTAGAACTTACACCCCAAACCTCTGGGCAGGCTGAGGCAGCTAAATTGGGTCTCAATTGTCAGGATTAATAAAACTGGTGGCAAACAGTTGCTTCCTATCTTGTTAGACACATTCTGACCCTCACTGACCTAGACTGAGTGGCAGCTTTTGTATACTAGAAAAAGCACTGGCCTCCTGAAAGTCAGGAGGCCAGAATGCTTTTAGCTGAGCCTCCAAGCAAGTCTCTTACTTTAGTCAAAGGACTTCACTTCTAGGGAACCTGTTTCCCTATCTCTAAATGATGGACTTGTACTAGAAGATGATGGATAACATGCTCTGGCATGGTCCCTAAGGCCCATAAGGCAACTAGGTGTCTGCTAGGTAAGCCACACAGATGTGAGCAGGTTTCTGTGAGTGGGTGAGGAGGGGGGTGTGTGCATAGGTGAGCAAGAAGGCAGAGGTTCTCTAGCACCTAAGAGTATTTTGGTATTTTGGTGTATTCTCTTCTCTGGGACTCAGTGCCAACCTGCTGGATGGACTGCCCTGTCCGGAGCACCATGCCAGGCCACAATAACACAAAACCCACCCAGCTGAGCGGATACTGGTCATCCGGGAGGGTGACTACAGCTCTAGGATGCAAAAGGCGTGGCCCTGCCCTGGGCTAAACTTGCTATGAGCCCCAGCCCATAGCCTTCCGGGCTCCTCATTTATTCCGCCTGCAGCCAAGTAACTGGCTGGCTGCCTGACAGCCTGCCGCCTGGCCCGAAGGGAGTATCGGCTGGAAGAGGGGCCAAAGGAAATGGCTGTGCTCCTCCCGGAGAAGGAAAGGAGGGGTTAAGAAACAGCTACAGAACAGGCTTCGATTGAAGAGCTTTCCCCGGATCCACGCGGGCGTCTCTGTCCACGTTTAGATGTAGGGAGGGGAGAGGAGACTAGCTGTGGGAGTGGCGAAGAGGGTTTCACGGGCAAGCCAGCCCTCAGTGAGTCTTCCAGTCTGTCCGTCTCTACCTGTCTTTCACAGTTTGCAGCCATCCAGTACTGTAATCTGTCAGTGGGTTGAGCCCAAGCTTTCAATTCCTGTCTCTGCGTCTTGGAGACTGTCTGGGGCATCTGCTCTCTGGTCCATTTTCTGAGTGTGTGTGCAACAGTTTGTCCATCTCCTTGCGCCTCGGTCCAGGCTGGGTATTGCGGGCAATGAGGGGTGACAGGGAAAGAGTGGGGCGTCCAGGCCGACTAGCCCTCAGAAGGGGGCTGGAGGACGGGAGGGCGGGTAGCTGAAGAGTGGGGCTGTGCAGAGGGGAGAGGAAGGGATCTAGCGAGGAAGGGCGGTGGGGTGGGAGGCTGTTCTGTTTCCCTTCCCCCTCCCGCCCCGGCGCCGGGGTCGGGGCCGGCCTCACGCTAAGTCCTGGTGGCCCCGGCAGCGGCGGCAGGAGCCGTAGAGCGCCGAGAGCAGGTAGAGTGAGAGGCAGAAGCAGCCGCAGACTGAGGCGGCGAGGAAAGCGTTGTAGGCGCAGGGCAGCGGGTAACGCTTAAGGTTGCAATAGCTGTGCCGCTGCGTCTGGTCGATCATGATGCCCGAGGCCGCCACGTACAGGCCGGCCGCCAGCAGGTCGTGGACCACGTTGGTGAGCAGCCAGCGAGGGCCCAACAGCGGAACCAGCTCGTGCTTGCCCAGCAGGGTGGTGAAGTAGAGGCCAGCAGTCAGCAACCAGAAGAACACGGAGACGAAGAGCGCGAAATGCACCGGGCCCTGGTACTTGCTGGAGGCGATGGTGATCCAGAAGGCTGCTCCGGCCAACAGCTGCAGCAGCCGCAGCACGCCAATCGGACTCCGCAGGAAGGATCGTTGCAAGCTCACCGAACTCCGCGCCCCGGCCGCAGGCGGCGGGGGCTGACGCGGGGGCGGGGGGCGCATGGCCCTGGAGCGCGGCGGCGGCTGGGGGGAGACCGGGAATGCTAGAGGCGGGCCGGTTAGCAAGGATTTCAGTGATTTCCTCCCCAGCGGCCGCCGCAGTCAGCCACCCCGCTAGCTGCCAGCTACAGCCCTTCCCCTAGTCTGCCCCCACTTTCTCTGCAGATTTTCACTCCTTCTTTCTACACTGGTCTTCTCGTGCCCCGCCGCCTCCCTTCCAGCTCTCCTCTGTTTCTCTAGCTCTCTCCACCCCTCCTACCCGCTCTTTTCTCTTCCCTCTCTGTCTCCTCCCCCGAACTTTGTACACTCCCTCTTTCCCTCTTCCTGCCATCTTTTTCACCACCCTCTCCCCCTCAGCTTCTCGCCTCTCCTCCACTTTCCCAATCTCTAACGTCCAGGACTGGGCAGGGCGGAGCCCCAAGCACCCTTCCATCCCTCCTTCTCACTCCCTTCTGACTTTGATCTGTTAGGGCAACTTCTGTCTGCGGAGGGCTCGGCGCCTTTCTTTTTCCTGTCCGTACTTCTGGTCCCGTTACTTTCATAACTTCAGAGTGTGGAGGCTCCGCCTGTTTTTGAAAGGTGGAGAAAGAGTCGTTGTTTCTTAGGTTGTTGTCCACACCCAGATGGCTATTTTTCTCGTCTAATTTAGCCCAGCCAAACTAAGCATGTCCCTCCTTTTCCAGCCTGGTGCACAACGTGGAGAAGATTGTTGAGCTCTCTTTGGCCTTATGCCACACGTGCATAAAAGTAATCGTAGGATCATCCTTTCTGAGTGAGAACAGCTGTGCTGGTAAATGTTTAACAACTTGCTTTCGGGAAGGGGAAAACAACAACAATAAAATCTTGTGCTGATAACATACTTTTTAAGTTTAATCTGTATTATTCCTATTTTAACCATTACTTTCTTAAATCTAGACAATCAACATAACAGTAAATCAAGCCCTGATGTGTAACCTTTAAAGATTTCTGAGGTGTAAATGTTCACACTGAAAATTGTGCACAAGCTGACTCCAGCACACCTCATACCTCTGCATGGCTGACTATTATCAGAGAAAAAGTTGGCAGCATTCTGTATTAGAAAAAAGAAGCCAACCTTGGGCCATTAGCAGAACCTGCAGGAGGTAGGGGCCCAAGTCTGGCTGTTCACTAATTAACCTTGGATTCAAATCTGTTCCCCACCCTGGTCCTACTTTAAATTAGATGCCACACACATTTATCAGTGGCCTCCACTGGGCAAGCACTGTGCTAGGCAGTGAGGAAACATAATGATAAAATCAGCTCCAGCACAGAATCTATATGGTCCCTTATGGAATTTATGGTCTAGAGAAGGGAAAGGGATACAACTGTGACAGGGTTTATCCATCACCTCCACCATGCATTTGTTCAGAATCACATGGAATTCATGGAGTGATACGCCTTGAAAGACAGTATGGCATAGTGGTTAAAGGGCCAGTCTTGGAGTCAGGCAGACCTGAGCTCAAGTATCATCTCTGACACTTATTAGTTGTGTGACCATAGGCAAGATTCTTAACCTTGCAGTGCACGGTTCAACTTACTAAGACTATAATTAGCTGATGAATTACCAATCTGGATCAGTGGAGGGAGTTTCCACACTGGAAATTACCTACACAAATTAAATCATAGGTTCAGCCTAAAAAGGTAGAGGGCCTTAAAACAATAATCAATTGATTTTTCATATTCACCCAAGTCCAAGTTATCTTGCCATTTGCCTGCCCCCGCTGCCCAGGTTCTCCCAACAGACCAGCACTCCCAATAGACAATAGGCTTGGATCAATAGAATCTATGTCCCAAGTCACTGAGAGAAGTTAATCTTCACTCATCTTTGAAGACCCCATCTATCTTCATTGGTGACTGAGTGAGTACAAGCTGGACCACTTAGCCCCCCTATGCACATGCTCAACCCCCTTCCACCTCCTGTGCTGGGCACCAGAACTCCTTTTCCTGGCCACCACTCTTCTATATGTGTTGTCTTGTATTAGAATGTAAGCTCCTTGAGGACAGATACCGTCTTCTTCTATTTGAAACCCCAGTGCTTAGCACAAGACACAAAGTGTTTAATCAAAGCTTTTTTCACCCATTTATTCATTGTCCTGAAACATTCGAATGGTCAGAAAATAAGATGTCTACTAGGAGAACTTAGGGAAAAGATACAGTCAGAAGATGTACATTTCTGAACTATGTAGGTCATCATGACTAAAAGAATTTACCACCTAGTGGCCAATTTACTGGTGAGCTTCTCCAAATGTAGTGAAACTGGTCCTCAGATGCCACATAAAGACCAGTACAAACAACAAACAAACAACGCGAAAACCTCAACAAAATAAGAGAAAGGGAGTTTAGGAGAACCTGAGGAAAAGAAGAGGGAATCTTTCCAGTTATCTAGAAAAGGTCTTGAGAACCTAGATTAGCAGCATCTGTTTAGATACTCACATGTGCTAATAAATGTTTAACAACCAGCTTTCCAAAAAATACAAGTGTTTAACAACCAGCTTTCAAGTATGCATGCACACAAGTATATATGTGTGTGCGTATATACATATATGTGTGTATATGTACATATGTGTACAAAGACTTTTAAGTTTAATCTGCATTATTAACATTTTCTCCATTACTTTCTTAAGTCTACTCTAAACCATCCACAGAACAATAAATTGGGCCCTGACTTGAAATGTTTGCCAATTTCCAAGCCATAAAATTCCATACCAGAAATTTAACAATCAGCTCAGTCACTTCAAGCTCGCTCCCGTTTGTTTCACCACCCTGCAGGCATAATTCTGAAAGGAATGAAGTTGATCTTATAAGGAAGTATTCACTAGTTTGTTTTCTCAGAGATGCTATTTTTAGTTTGGGAGAACTTTGCAGTCATTCCAAGGGACTTTCAGCAAAACTCCCTGAGCAAGTAAAACCAGGCAAAAACATATTCATAATTTCATTCCAAGGGTCATGTCTTTATTTTTTAATTAAATGTTTTATTGAAAATCTATTTATTATTGAATAATAATACAATCCCTAAAACTTGTTTAACAACCTTTGACAATTTAATAAATTTCAAAGAATAAAATATAACTTTTTTCCATCACTAGTACTACGTACAACCCACCTTACCCCCCCATCATGATTTCAATTTTTTTCAACAAATCTAATAATAAATAACCTAAAGAAAGTCCCTGGTATAGACTGTACCTGTCTTATCTTCTGTCTCTTCTTATTACATAAGTTGTATAACTAACACAAAACTACCTAACTCCAGGGGCAGCTAGGTGGTACAGTGGAAACAGGACCAGCCCTGGAGTCAGGATGACCTGAGTTCAAATCCAGCCTCAGACACTTGACACTTACTAGCTGTGTGACCCTGGGCAAGTCACTTAACCCCATTGCCTAGCCAAAAAACAAAACAAAAACAAAAAATCCCTACCTAACTCCAAATTTTATTCCTACATCCAATCTCTCTTCTCTTTATGCACAAGATATCACCAACTCAAATCATGAGACAGGAACAGCGCCAGTCATTGTCCTTCCACCCTGGTGTCTCATGTTCTAATAGGTATGGAGAACTAGAAATGCCCCGGAAGACCCTAGCCTCGGGGTATGGAGAGTCTCAAGCACTCTAGATAACTCTCCACTCGTTCCTTATGCATAGAAACCTCATCCCAGTCTGGAATTCTCCCTGATCCCCTTAGCCTGGGAGTTGTTGCTTGGTCCATTAGTCGTGTCTGATTCTTTACGACACCATTTAGGGTTTTCTTGGCAAAGATATTGGAGTGGTTTGCAGTTTACTTCTCCAGCTCATTTTACAGATGAGGAATTGAGGTAAACAGGGTTAAGTGACTTACCCAGGGTTACAGAACTAGGAAGTATATGAGGCTGGATTTGGACTGAGGTCCTCCTGACTCCAGGCCTGGCACTCTATCCACTTTGCCACCTGGCTGCTTAACCCCGGGGAGGGGGGAGCCCCCGCGGTTCCCATACAATTTTATATTGTGTAAGATGTGTGAGGCATTTTCCTGCATCCTCATTGCCACCCACTGATAAGACCTTTGTTCTGATATTGAAAATATCTCCAAACAAGATGTAAATATCCTTATTAACACCACATTTGAAGAAGATCTATTGAATCATGGCTTGTCATACACCTAAGCCAATAACCAAAGTGGATATTTGAGTTCCCTGAAGGAAAGCCCCTGCAGCCTCACAGACAGGCAAGAAGCATTTATTAAGTGCTTACTATGTGCCAAGCACTTTGCTAAACTCTGGGGATTAAAAAAAAAAAAGCAAAAAAAGACAGATAGTCCCTGCCTTCAAGGAGTTTCCATTCTAATGAAGGAAGACAGCACCTAAAAGGAAGCAAGGGAGGAAGGAAGGTACCTGTGGAGGTATGGGGACAGAGAGGCAGAAGCACAGCCAGGAGGGGAGTGAAGCATGGCTATCCCACTGTCCCTCCAGGGAACCAAATGCAGCAGGAAATCACATGCCCCCAGGAAAGGAATGAACTAAGTGGGTCCAGAAATGGATGGTAGCTAATGGAGGCAGCAGGGAAGCAGTAAGGAGCTCCCCTGCTACGTTGGGAACTGCACAAAAGTAACCCAGCAGCAGGACAGGGGCAGTGATGGAAGTGAGAAGCTCCTGGACCAGAGCAATGATTCCGAGACAATGCTGAGTTCCTGGCAAGCCTCCTGGAAGAAGAGGAAGAGCTCATGGACAGCACTGAATTCCTGGACCAAACAAGAGTTAGAGCCAACAACCAGTAAGAGACAGAGTTCCAACGAGAAGCAGCAAAGCTGGGAAACCTTAGCCTTCACGGATGCTGTGATTTATGCAGATTGTACAAGTCTAGGAGGAAGGAGTCAATTATCAACCCCAAGGGATGTCTCTCCCTACAAGAATGGAAGGTCTCCATTAGAGGAGTATTCAGTACCCTAGAAGGGAGTATGTAGGTCCTTTGTAAAGTGGGGCTCACCTGAAAGGGAAAGAGAATTGTCTTGATTATTTATGGGTTCAGGTCTAAGTGCTTTTTGTTTTATGTTTATTTTGGGTCGGGTTAAATAAAGCCTGCCCTATTTTTGTAGCACTGTTAGCCTCAATGCTTGCATAGGCAGATCCTAGGGCCTTTTCTTCTGTAATGACCTAACCATGAGCTATTTAAATTCATTTGATTTCCCTCAAAAATCATGGAATCTATGAGTTAGACAGGACTTTGGAGACCATCGAGTCCAACAGGTCTCTGCTCTATGCCCAGAAGGTGGCTATACATTCTTTCCTTGAAGTTAAGCTGTAATTGACATTTTTGCTACCAGGTGTGCTTTGACAAAAAGTTAGAACAAGTAGGACTAAACACAGTCTCAAATCCTTTTTGTTGCAATTTGTTTTTTAAAATTTTACTAATTCAGTAAGAAGGGAGGGAGAGTCATTTTTAGTCCCCATGGGCAAAGAGCCCAGACCCCTACAAGGCCATCGGGAAAGGAGCTCATCTGGGGTGCAGCCTCAGAAGGTAAGAAGTGTGCCATCTAGTGGCTTCTTGTTATAATTCATTATTTTGACAGGAATGCAAAATCTGTCACTGATACTAAATTCCTGTACCCAGCGCAAAGCCCGACTTGAAGATCTCCATGGAAAGTGAACATCCTATCTCCCAAGGTGATCCATTAAACTTTCGGGTAGTTCTAATGATTGTTGATAGTTTTTCTTAGATGATGCCTAAAATTGAGGGAGGCGAGGGGAGGGGGAAGAGAGATGGTAAATACAGGAACCCTAGGCCACTGGAGTCCTTCCTTGGTCGGGGAGGATGAGGGGATCACTGTGCAGAGCAGGGGAGAGGGGAAGAGGACAGGTCAAGGGAAGATCTTACTTATATTACTTATCTTAACATTTTAAACTAATTCTTTTTGCTAACTGGGAGCTAAAAATCTGTTCTTGTCTTACTGATAAAGGATTTCAAGTGCTGTCAGTGCCTTCTAAATTAGGGACCCTTGGGCAAAGGCCTGATCACCCTACCCTAGTTATAGCTCTAGATATGTGTGTGGTTTGTCCTTTGTTCTCAAAGAGGACCATGACATCAGGAAGATGTTGTCATAACTTGCAAATGAGATACGACTTACTCTAAATAGCCATGAAATTCATGTTCTGATACATTGAGGGAAACTTCTGATAGGAATTGAGAGTGGAGAAATCATTTATAGTCTGATGTTCTTGGGGAAAACTGGATGGGGGCATGAGCCAAAGAGGATGATTTGTGAGAAGTTCCTAAAATGAAACTTCATCTTTAAAAACACAGAGCATTCTGTTCTGGGACACAGATTACAGAAATGAATAAATAAAAAGGTATTTATTAAGTACTTACTATGTGCAAAGCACCATGCTAAGTCCTGGGGATATAAACAGAAAAATAAGACAGTCCCTGATCTCAGGCCATGCACGTTCTAGTGCGGGAGACAACACATATAGAAGGTTTCAGCTGTGAGTCAGAGGGAGAGATCCCAAGGTCCTTAGGGTGGAGTGGTAAAGCAGATGGTCATGCCTCTTCTTCCATGTCATTGTCATTGTTAAAATCATATTTTCTGAATTGAAACATTTGACAATGCCAAGGACTTTGGGAGCACGATCTTTCTTTTCTGGACCTTTAATAGCTGTTGCTGCAGCCCCTGCAGAAGCAGTTATTAGGCTGAATCTCCAAAAAGTTGGCTACCCACGATGATGGCTGCTAGTACATCTGTCCCCCAAAACACCTAAGGGGCACTGGAGCACCTGCAGTCCCATCACCGTTTGCCAAAGTGAACACAGAAATGGGACTCAGAGAGAGTACTGTTGGCCCCAGATGTACCGGTCGCGCCGACCTTATGCCGGCCGCGCCGAACACTCCTCCTACAAGGAGCAGGCTGCCAGAGTCATACTCACTCATCAGTCTTCGGTCCTCAACCGGATAAACACACAGAGATGAGCCATCGGGAGGCGCCAACACCAGAGCTTTATTCAGAGGCCATCACAGCAAGCCATCACAGCAAGGCCAAGCAGGAAGGCCAGAGCAACAGAGCAGGAGCCAAGAGAGCGTGATCTGACCACGCTCATTCCTTAAGTACCTACTTAGCCCCTCCTCCCCAGCCTGCTTACTAGCCAATGATTGTAGGGTCAGATACTGGAAGGGGCTGTCTGAGTTTAGCACACCAAGGGAGAGGGAGTGATGTAGGAGGCTAGGACCGGATACAGGAAGGAGGCGTCTGGGGTCAGTGCCACACAAAGGGACCCAGGAAGTCAGGAAGGTCACAGGAAGGAGGCATCTGGGGTTGACGTTGCATATAGGGAGGGGACTAAGCAAAGGGAACTTGTCCTCTGCCATCCCACTCCCACGTGGCACCGCCCCTTGCCTCAATACTTCCTTGCACCCAGCTTATCTCACATAGCACTGCCCACTGCCTCAGGGTTTCTCCGTACCCAGCCCATCCCAGTTCACCACGACTCCGCCTACCACAGCCCCTGCCTCGACTTCCAAATACCCAGATTCTACCCCAATCTTGCCACAACGGCCATCTGGTAGCTGCCAACATCAGACAGTCCCTCACACCCAGACTCAGCAGGGTCACCAATGCCCATCACATTAGCTAATAACCATGTGTCACTAATATCCCGATAAAAAGCCTCAGACAAGGGGAAGACTTCATTGTCTTTCACTCTGCATGGCTGGGCTGATCTTGTCTTCAGTCTCTATTTTTAATCACAAGATCATAGATTTAGAGCCAGAAAGACCTCAAAGGCCCAACTTCTCATTTTCCAAATGAGGAAACTGAGGCTCAGAGAGCTTCAGTGACTTTCCCAGGGTCACAAAGCTACTGAGTATCAGAGGAGGCACTTGAACCAAGGTCTCTTTGGCTCTGAGGGAAGCTTTCTATCCACAGTGCTATAATACCTCTCTCAATCAACAGGCATTAAGGGCCTACTATGGTCCGAGGATTTGACTTTTCCTACCTGCCTACCCCTATCTCAGGGCCTTAATTTTCTGTTCAAATGTCTTTTACCAGGCAGGACAACTTAGAATGAGAGGACCTGACTTTAACCTGGACCTGACCTCAGGCACGTCATTTACCCTCCTAAGCCTTAATAATTATCTAAAATGATGATAATAATGATAATTATTGTTGTTATTTAGATTTTCCAAGTTTCATTTTCTTCATCTCTTAAAGAGATATACTATTAGTAGGGCTATAATGATTATCATTGGTAATGATGGATGTTCCCCAGCCTCTGGACCCAGACCTTTGTCTTTTTCATTGATGCCCCTCAAGTGAATGTTGCCTAAGGTTTCATCTTGGCTCTCCTCTTCTCTCCTGGTAAATTCATCCAATCCCATGGCTCCAACTATCATCCACATGTAGATGACTCCCAAATGTCTTTGTACGGTTTAGATCTCATTTCAGGGCTCTAGACCTGCATCTCTATGGGTTTACAGGACATCTCCACTTGAACATCCCACTGTCACCTCAAACCCAATATGTCCCAAACTGAACTTACTATCATTCCTCCTAAAACTGCTCCTTCCCTTCCTTCCCTTTCCTTTCCTTATTTTCTTTCCACTCCTTCCCTTCCCTACTCTTTCCTTGCCTTTTCTTTTCTTGTCTTCCTTTCCCTTCCTTCCCTTTCTTTTCATTCCTATCTTTTCCTTCCTTTCCTTTCCTTCCCTTCCCTTCTTTTCCTTTCTTTTCATTCCTATCTTTTCCTTCCTTTCCTTCTTTCCCTTTCTTTTCCTTCTTTTCCCTTCCTTTTCCTTTCTTCTCTTCCCTTCCCTTCCTTTCACTTTTTTTTTGTCAGTGTCAGGACCATTCACTTCTGTAGTCTCCAGCATCTGAAACCTCAGTGTTACCTTTGTAGGTAGAACTGAATGTTCAGTAAAGAGAACTGGTTCAAAAAACATGGGTGTGACTCCTGGCTCTGCCACGTCCTACCTTGTGACTTTGGGCGAAGTCAGTTAATTCCTTTGGGACTTTTCTGTAAAATGAAGAGGACTAGATGGCCTATAAAGTCCCTTCTAGCTCAAAATCTACCATCTTGTGACTTTCTCTCTCTTTTTTTTTTTAGTTTCTCAACTGTGTTTCCTGTTCCTATTCTTCAGTCAGTTGGCAAACATTGATTATTTACTTACCATATGTCAGATACTGTGCTAGGCACTAGGGATACAAAGGAGGGCAAAAACAACCCCTGCTTTCAAGGAGCTCGCCATCTAACAAGGGAGACAAGATGCCAAAAACAAAAACAAAAACAAAAACTGTATGTACGTATGAGAGTGATACAGAATAAATGGAAGGTAATCTGAGATGGAAGGGACTAGCAAGAGACAGCTGGGGAAGAAAGGCAACCTGTGGGAAGTTGAGTTTGAGCTGAGTCTTAGAGAAAGTCAAGGAACCTGGAATTCACCTCCGAGGTGAGAATCAGGAACATTCCAGGAACGGAGGACAAACAATGTAAATGCATGAAATGGGAGATGAAGAATCATGTGTGAAGAACAGAAAGTAGGCCAGTGAAGAGTACAAGGAGGGAAGTCAAGTAAGAAAACTAGAAAGGTAGGAAGGAGCTTGGTTATGAAGGGCTTTGAATGCCAAATAGATGATCTTATCATGGAGGGGACTGGCTTAATTGACGGGGGGAGTGATATGGTCAGATCTGAACTTTAGGAAAATTGCTTTGTTCAGTGAAGGGAGAATGGATAGGAATGGGGAGAGACTTGAGACAGTGAAATCAATGAGAAGGCCATAATAATAGTCCAGATGAGATGTGATGAGGACCCATAGAGGGGTGATGACCGCGTGAGTGGAGGGAAAGGGACATGCGTGGGAGACGCTGTCAAAACAAAAATGACAAAACTGGACAACAAACTGGATATATGAGGAGAGTGAGGAGTTGAAAGGAGGATGGCACTGAAGCTTTGACCCTAAGTGGCTTAGAAGAGAAAAGAAAAGGACCAAGCATTTATTAAATGCTTCTATGTCCCAGGCAGGGTAGTTAGGTGGCACAGGGGATAGAATGCCAGGCCTGGGGTCAGGAAGACTCATCTTTGCGAGCTCAAATCTGGCTTCAGAACTAGTTGTGTGACTCCAGGTAAGTCACTTAATCCTGTTGGCCTCAGTTTCCTCATCTGTAAAATGAACTGAAGAAGGAAATGGCAAAACTACTCCAGTGTCTTTGCCAAGAAAACCCCAAAAGGGGTCACAAAGAACTGGATACCACTAATTGACAAAACAACAACAGTGTGCCAGGCACTGTGCTAAAAGGCTTTACAAAAATTATCTCATTTGATCCTTACAACAACCTTAGGGGGTAGGTGCTATCATTATCCCCAGTCTACAGTTGAGGATACTGAGGCTGACAAAGGGTAAATGACAGCTAATAAGTGTCTGCAAGTGGAATTTGAACTCAGATCCCTCTGACTCCAGGCCCAGTACTCTATCTACTTCACCAGCTAACTGCCTCTAACTGGGAGAATGGTAGTACCATCAATAGTAATGGGCAGAGGGGTGGGTTTGAGGGGAAAAGATAAAGAGTTCTGTTAGGTACATCTTGAGTTCGAGACATCCTTGGAATACACAGATTGAGGCATCTAAAAAGTCAGTTGGTAGGGGCAGCTAGGTGACAAGGTAGATAGATCTCCAGCCTTGGAGCCTGGAGGACCTGAGTTCAAATCCGGTCTTAGACACATGATACTCACTAGCTGTGTGACCCTGGGCAAGTCACTTAACTCCGATTGCCTCACCAAAAAAAAAAAAAGTCAGTTGGTGATGGGGGCCTGGAGCTATGTGGTAATATCTCTACAACATCTCTCACACCTGTCTCCTCCTCTACTCCCATGGCATTCCATCTATCCTTGGCCTTCATTTCCATGCTCCCAATCTATTTCAACCTATTTCCCACCTTCTCTCTTCTCTCCAGTCTTCATTTAGCCAGACTAATCTTCCTTATGAATAGATATCTGCTAAAAAAAAAAAAAAAGGCTTTAGTCTCTCTGAACTGTGTACAGAGTAAAGTTCAACTGTTTTTGTCTGGTGTTTGAGGTCCTCCACAGTTGGATGCCACCCTGTCTTTTCAGTCTTTCTCACCCTTCTCCTCAACACACACACACACACACACACACACACACACACACACACACACTCCTAAATGGTAACCAAATTGGGTTACACCATCTCATAAACATGCCCTGTACTTTATTAGCTTCATCTGTCTATGGAATGTCTTCTATCTATGGAATGTCTTCTATCCATAGAAGGTCTTCCTTCTGTTTTACCTATGGGACAATTGATGTAGAGCTGGAAGGGGGTAACACCTGATTTTACAGATGAGGAAACTGCCAGGAAAACTTAAGGAAACTTAAAGGAGGTTAAGTGATTTGCCAAGGTTACCCAACTTAGTACATATCCGAGACAGAATTTGAATTCAGGTCTTCCTTACTCCAAGCCCCAAACCCTATCCACTGCCTTTACCTCCCCATGCTTTTAAGCCCAGGGAGCAGTCAGGGCCAAACAGAGCAGCGATTGATGATTAGAGCTAAGATCATCATTACCCAGTACTAATTGAGCTCTGGCAGCAGCCAGGGGTTACCCGATTTGTCTGTAGCTGGTGAGCCAGAGAAACAAGAATGTTCCCCAATTTCCCATTTGATCTGGGACCCTAAAACAGGGGAAATAAAGGCCTTTTTCCCACCGATTTTCCATAAGCAGTGAGTGCGTGCACTTGGGGAACACTAGAGAGGCTGTAGGTGGGGGGGAAAGATAATAATAATAAAAATAATAATAGCTAGCATTTGTATAGTGTGTACTATGAGTCAGGGCACTGTGTTAAACTTTATAAATGTTATATCATTTGAGCCTAACAAAACCCTGTGATTCAATTGCTATTATTAACCCCATTTTATAGATGAGGAGATTAAGGCTAAAGGTCACAAAGCCAGTAAGTGTCTGAGACTAAATCTGAACTCAGGTCTTCCTGACCCCATGCACAACACCTTTTTCCCTGCAGCACCCAGACCTTCCCTCCTCCCTCTTTCCCTACCCGCCACTGAATATGCCCCAGGTGCCTGAAGTTCTATTTATTGTTCTGTTTAGAACCTCTTAAGCAGATGAAGATAAACACAAGAATTGGCAGAATTCTTTTGCAGTCAGGAGTTGTCCTTTTGGCTATTTATTTATCACCCTGGCTATCTCTAGGTGCACATCCAGCCCACTATCTCTGAAAGAGACCTGGCCTAACCATCGCAAGTACAGGAGGCAAGGATTTTGTCTGACTTACTTAGTTTATGTAGGTGGATACTTAATAAATGCTTATGATTCACTGAACAGGAAGAGCATAGTTGACTCAGAAGTCAACACCCTGTTGCCTAGGGGTTTCATGTGGAACTTCAAGAGAACAAGTACTTGCTATATCCTGCTTAACCAAGGACACTCAAAGATGATTGCTCAGGTTCTCCAAACCCACTGATTTGGAACAAGTCCTAGCCCACTGCTGGGAATCATGAACAATTACCCAACCTCCACCACCAAGAATACCAAGGAATTCGGGACAAGAGAGGCCAAAGGCAACATGTACCCCCAAATTACACCAAGTGCCCAGTGGACATGGCACCCATTTGGGGTCTCTCCACTTTGATCAGAGGCTCCTCTTGAACAGGACCAAAGAGGATACTAGATTTGGGGTCAGAATACCTGGATTATCTGATCCCTGTGTGATATTAGGTAACTCACTTATGTTTATGCCTCAGTCTTAAATGCTTCCTTCAGGCTATTTCTAAACTTGTTTGGATCCAGGAATCTCCATTTTCTCTCTGTATCTCCACCAGCCAGAGTTACATACATATGAGGTCAATGATACAAAAGGACATTTACTTAAAATAAAAATGCAAGATAAGGCACAAGAATATTTCAACAAACAGCAAAAACCTTCTCACTACCCATTTCCTGGTAAACCTCCTTCTAACCTTCATTGGTAAAAAGTTAGTGAGTAAAGCTCTTCTCTAACCCAAGTTGCTAAATCACCAATTTAGGAGATCAATAACAGGTGTGGAAATGATATTTGCCCAATGGATAAACAAAAAAGATGTTGTGCCATGATACAGGAGATGCCATTGTCTTTTACACTGGTCCCCCCCAAATTCTCTGGATGAAGTAATTGCCAAGGAAGATATGTAGCACAGGGACAGCCCCATGACTATATGTAGCACAGTTCCATGACTATTTCTTCTCCTCTCCTTTTCTCCCTGATTCATGTTTCCTGTTTCCCCTTCTTTCCTTAGACCATGCCCACCTGGCCTCCAGTTAGAGCCAATGTCTCGACAGCGCCATCACTGGTTACACTTAGTAGAGGCTCATGTAGAATGGCATCTCATTCATATGTAAAATGGGACTAATAGCTGCCCAAAGTACCTCACAAATATGTTATGGGAATAAAATGTGATAATGAACGTGAAAGCATTTGCAATTCTAAAATATTTTATAAATATAGGCTCTTATTATAACTCCCAGACTGGTTTTGCCTCACTCTTTAGCAGCAACCATCTCAGGATTTGGACTTGGAAGTTAGAAATCTCACTGCCTCATTATCATCCTGAACTACCAAGATTGCCAGGAAAACTTTGTGCTCCCCATCTTCTTGTCAAAAACATTGACACATGACACTGCAACATGAGATGCATTTTCACTCTGTTATAAACACACTGCTGGTTTAGGAAAAGTAGGTTTTTTTCCTGTCTGCTCTTAGTTGCAGCTGCCCTAGAAGCCAGGATTCCATATCCTTGTTGAATATTACACCCCTGATTTCGGAGAGTAAGAATTACTGAGGGCTCAAAGCCGTTTACAGGCAGATCTAATTGGAGCATAAGATCATAGACTTTAGGCTGACAGGGGCCCTAGAGGTCATCTAGTACAAACTCATCACTTTACAAATGAGGAAACTGAGTACCACAGACTTGCCCATAGTGATAAAACCACCGGGGTACTGGATCCTGGTCCTATTTATTCTTCACTGAATCCTGCTTTTTTTTTCTTCCCACAGTTTCTAGAGGGTATCTCTGACTGGCCCACAATTCAGAGATCCTCTTTTTTAGGCTTCCAACAAAGCAGATCTCCCTTATCCAAACACTACTAAGAGGCTTAAGCATGAGCACTTGCCTGACTGGAGTGAGTGCCTGAGAATTCTTTGGCCCTGATTTTGGCAGTTGGTTCCTTCTGATTTCTTTCTCAGAACACTCCAGGCAGATCAAAGAGAAGTCACATTTTCAGTGTTTGTCACTTTGGCAAAGGTTTTTTCTGTATGACCCTTGCCCTGAATGGGCTGATACCAAGTGGTGGGGCAGGCTCAGATTAGTTAACTAGTCTAGAAGAAGTGGCTTGGGGCAGCTAGGTGGTGCAGTGGATAGAGCACCGGCCCTTTAGTCAGCATGACCTGAGTTCAAATGCAGCCTCAGATCAAACAGTTGACACTTACTAGCTGTGTGACCCTGGGCAAGTCACTTAACCCCAATTGCCTTTAAAAAAAAAAGTGGCTCAAAGAACCCAGGCCACAGGAAAGAGGCAGCCCAGGACTATTTCTGGGGCAAGTGGGGGTGGGGTAAACTGCAGGGTTCCCAAAGCACACACCTAGGAACCTGTTCCTCCTTCATTCCAGAAGAGGATCAAAGACTTCAGGAAGTTGATGGGTTGACTTGCAAGTGAATTTGATTTAAGTGAGGCAGGGCTGTGCAGTCATCAGAGTCCAGTGGCAAAACATAGGTCAGGATGACTGGCAATGACCCTATGCAGTGGGAGACCTTGGCCTTCTTAAGCTAAGGTTTTTCCTAGGTCTCAGTTTGTCAGTAGGTGAAAAGGAAAAGAACACATGCAGTCTGAGGGGGTATGGCAACAAAGGAGAGTGTCAGAGTCAAACTCAGGGTTTGGCCTTGGTAATGGGACCTGCTGTGTTTATGGAATGGCTCTGTGTGTGTGTATACACACATGTGTATGTATGTATATATGTATATATACAGATATATACACCCCCCACACCCCCAAAGCCACATAGGGTGTCCTAAAAATCTAAGTGAAATTTAAGCCTAGTCCAATTTTAATAACTCAAAACCACCCTACGACTTTTGGAACACCCTTGTATCTATACACAAATGTGCCTGTGGTCATTTTTAGCTCTTGTTGACAGAACCACCTCATCCCAGAATCTCTATCCATCTTCCACTCTCCTTACCACCAAGGTCTGCCTCCAATCCAACTCACCACGCATGCAAATGCGCGCGCGCGCGCACGCACACACACACACACACACACACACACACACACACGCAAGGGCTCTCTGGCCTGACTCGCCATCCCTACAGACAGACAGCTCGGACAGGAGTACAGCCTATTTCAGAACTGCTGGCCCCTTTCCAGACTGCCACACAGCAAGCCTGGGGGGGAGAGGTGGGGATAGTGTGTGGAGGTAAGGGTGGGGGGAGAGGCGGCAGAGACCCTTAGCATACACGAGGATCCCTTCTCACGCAGGCCTTACATTGGAGCCCTATGGCTACGCAGTCAGCCTAAAAGAAGAGGAAGTCATCACGTGCATTGCAGCAGGGTTGTCGCTGCCGCACCCCAGGGACAGGAATGCGGCTCCGCCCTGGTTCTCGGAGCCGGCCTAACCGAGCTCTGCTTAGTGTATTGACGTCAATGACGCCTGCGGCCCGGCTGGGGGATGGGGACGGGGATGGAGAGGGAAGGAGGGACACGCCCCCTTCCCCATTGAGGCTCTGATTGGTCGCCTGGGTTATTCGCGTTCGATTTTGGAACGTTTACCCAGGAGCTGAAGCTGGGGCAGGGGCTGTGGGTTGACCTTATCCTCTGGTCAGGATCCCAGGAGCAGCGTTTTTCAATGGAATCGTGGAAGTGAGCTGGGTTGCAGCGTTCGGACAGTCGAGCTTCCTCTCGGCCCCTTTCTGGCGGAGTCGCATCGGCAGACAGGTAAGAGAGACAGATGCATGGGGGTCGCTTGTGCAGGGCTGGGATAGGGAGGAAGGAGCAGCTTGCCAGGTCCAGACCCTTCAGGGCCCCCGAAAGGGAAGGGTCCCTCCGCCGCTTTCGGGCTCAGTCTCATGCTCGAGAGTCCGCAGAGCCGTGAGCCGTCTGTTGTACGCGTTACGGACTGCGGAGGGGCGCGATAAGACGCGGGTTGGGGAGGTTGTACTGTCATCGATGTCAGTATAACCCCCTGGTGCTTCTCTGAATCCTCGGGCTCCGGAACCGGCGTGCCGGCGCTACTTGGAACCCACAGATTGCTGCGGGGTGGAAACAGGGAGCCTGGGCTGGCCCGCAGACTCTGCTGAGGATTGAGGGTTTCGTTGGCCACTCTTTCAGAGAAACCGGCCAGTGCTGAGACGGTGGGGTCGTGGAGAAATAAAGGTGTACAGACTGAGGACTCCAAGGGAGGAGAGCCCCAAGCTGAAAGTAGACCACAAATTCAGCCCTTAGTTCAATGACCAATCTCACAAGCGTCTCCCTGGGCAGTGGAGTGCAGCCTGTGGGTACTCTGCTGGGATTTCTGACCTTTACTCCCTGACCCAATCTAAAGAGATAAACAGACACCGCAATTAATTTCCTGAAAGATTTGAAAGCATTTCCATGATTTCCTCTAGTCTTTTGAAGAGCGGCTTGGCACCAGTACAGGCCGGTATCTGGGCAGAAACAATAAAAGTAGATAGCTGAGTCAGTTTTTCTGAGATGTCTCTATTTCTTCTCCACTTAAATCTCAAGCCGTAAGTGTTCGTGGAAACAGTCTTGAATTCCCCAGGAGCTTGTAGCCCAGGACCCCAACCTGGAGGATTCTGGCGTTCTTGAATGCTGGAGGCTCTGATCTGATAGCAATAGGGAATGGCTATCAAACATCCTTGACCCTGTCAGGCAAAGGAAGATGGTGGATCTTAGCCACATTGGCCCCTCCTACTATTTTTTTTTTTTGGTCTAGGCAATGGGGTTAAGTGACTTGCCCAGGGTCACACTGCTAGCAAGTGTTATATGTCTGAGGTTGGATTTGAACTCCAGTCCTCCTGAGTCCAGGGCTGGTGCTCTATCCACTGCGCCACCTAGCTTCCCCTCTCTCCTCCTACTGAGCCACTGATATGACCTTCTTGTTCTTTGTCCTAGTTTCCCACAGATGGCAGTGACAGGAATCTCCCCAAAAAAATTTGAGTCATAGTTTGTACCCTGGTTGATCAGGTTAATCTGAGGGACCTAGAGAGAACATCCCAGCATTTGTAAAGCCAAGCTTGGGGAACTATAGAGGCTGCTGGGATTGTCTAGCTCTGGCATCAAGGAAGAGGCATTTTCCTCCACCCTGCTGCTCTTCCTTGATCTTAGAGAAGTTATGGCCATTACAGGAAATAAGAGTTTTATCGAGTTCTAAACAAGAGGACCTAACAACCTTCTCCTCCCTCTATACACACCAAGTCCACAATACCACTAGAGACAGAGGACTCATCTACACTTAGTACTGACCAAGAGACAGGATCTCATGTATAGATTTAAAACTAGAAAGGACATTAGGGGTCTTTCAGTTAGCCTCTTCAACCCTCCTTTTTTTAGAGGTTGTAACTTTCCTGAAGTCACACAGTAATTAGTGGCACAACCTTCAAATCCAGGTACTCCAAACCCAGCGCCCTTAACTTTGGTAGAAATCTGAGCCATGCTGTTTTGTGTCTAGACATAATCTGCTTTTACTTGGGGGTGGGGTGGGAGTGGGGAGTATATGGTTGGGAAAGGTGTGCCTAAAATCTGGGCAACAGGACCTGTTCACACAGGCCATTCCTAGGTAGTAAATCCCAAGCTGCCCATCCTTACCATTCAAATTCCTTCTAGATTAAACAGGATTTAGACCCAAGGAATATCACAGCCTTCTACGGTTCCCCCAAAGGAACCATTCATTCCAATTTCATTTTACAGAGGAAACTGAGACTAGAGAAATTAAATGACCTGCCCAAGACCATGCAATGGTCCAATGGCCAAACCTGGGCTCTCTCTCCAACACCACTCTGGACTTCCAAATTCAGCTTGTTAACACCAGTTTTCTTCATGTTGTGGAACCCAGGTTCAAAGCAAAGGTGGCTTATTACACAGTAAACATTCATTGTATGAGCCATCAAAGGCCTTCTGACTAATGGATGATCATTTGCCTTCTTTCCTAGTGTTTTTCCATTTACGTTTTGGAGAAAACATATCTGTTTCACAGCATGTAAAATCTAGAAGCAAACTTTAAGGGTCAAAGAGATTGTTGTAAAGGAAAAAAAAAGATGTGAAAGATATTTTGCCATTCAAACTATTTGCTATTTGGTCAGAGCAGTATATATAGGAGTATATGTACCTCCTAGGCCCACAGAATGTAAACTTCTTTATGAGTAAACTGAATTTTCATGATACAAACTAAGACTAGGAAGGGTCAGTTAAGGAACATTTATTAAATGCCTACTATGTGCCAGCACTGTGCTAGATGCTGGGGATACCAAAGAAAGGCAAAAACAGTATCTTCTCTCTAAGAGCTCACAATCAAATAGACAACATGTAAATAACTATGTACAAAGAGAGACTTAAATACACCTATTTTATAGCTAAAGAAACTGAAACACCCTCATAGCATCTGAACTGGCCAAGGACTTTTGACAAAGAAGGCTAGGACTGGAAGCCAGGTCTCCTACCTCTCAGTCCACTGCGCTAATCACTATGTTCCCTTACTCAGAAGTATCTGAAGTAAACTGCAGGCAGTTTTCATCTTGCACTCATCCAGAACAAATAATAATTTATGGCAGGTAAGTATTTAGGAATGCTAGTTCCCATTTAGCTTACTGCTTCTATCCTTCTTGGAAGAAGGTGAGCTATTAAAAATGTTTGATGGGCCAGTGATACTCCTGTCTTATTTCCAGGGTTTCCCATCTCCACTCTTTAGGTCAAGATTTGAAAATTTCCTGTCTTTAGCAGCCCTTGAGATTTATCAGTAACTCCAGCACCTAACACAGCGCCTTGTAGACGGCAGGCAATGAATTAGTGCTTTTTTGTTGACAACAATGGTATTTCTAAAGAGCAGAGATGCTAGGCCTGGTCCTTTTTTCACAAGTAACAGTTTTGCTGCTCAGTCACCCTGGGAGAAAGGCAGACCTCTCAGATACAGCACAGGGAACAGTCATATGGGAGGAGTAAAGGCGGATGTTCATTTATTTTACCCCCAGCAATGCCCAGATTTTAGCAGAGGAACAATAAAGTGAATTCTCTCTACTTGCAATTGGACATTTGAAATGGGAAAAGAAGAACTGACATGTGAGAGGCAATAGGGTGGAGAAGGGGGAGGATTTAGGACAGGGGAAGAAATTCAGTTCACAGTTAAATAGCATCCCTCATTTAGGTAATAAGGAAATTGAGGCTTAAGGAACTGACTTATTTTCACCCAAATATTAAATGTCTGAGGCAGGATTAGAATCTGGGTCTCCTGAATCCAAGTCTAGGTAATATTCTTACCTCTACACTTCTGGGATAAAATGGAGAAAACTCAGAATAGGATACAAAAAAGGTTCTGGCAATCAAACAGCCTTGTTATTAGGGTCATGTCCTTCAAGCCAGATGTGCTATGTCAGACCCAGGAGAAAGAACCTAGGTGAGACTCTGACAATATCCCTGCCCATCTCTCACTACTCAAAAGACCCCAGACTCAATAATTAATTGTAAGCTTTTGTGAGGATCTAGGACCCAGCCTGACAACTAGAAGGTGAGAGGGAAAGAAGGTGATGCAAGGCTTGAAAAGAGTATTAAAACTGTCACCTCCACTGCAGAGATGAGTATAGCTTGCATATTCCACCCCCCTCATCCCCCACCCCTAAGATGATCAGCGGATGAAAGCAGATTAACTTGCACATGGTCCTCTAGCCCCACGTTGATAGAGCATTTTAAAATTGAGAAAGTTGACCTAACAGTGAGTAGGGTCAGAACTGGGACTTGAACCCAGCCCAGGGCTCCTTCCACTATGATGTCCTATCTTAAGAGACTATTCATGCCAACTTGACAACTTGATAATACAACTTGTATTATCTCTGCTTCATCCATGAAGAAACTGAGGTTCAGAGACCAATTGACTTGCCATCTTCACAAGGCTAGTGTCTGAGCTGTTATTTTAATCCTGACCACAAGAGAGTGCTCTTTCTACCTCAACAACCTGCCTCCCATGCTCTACATTTTTATAAGTCCTGTAGGGGCAGGGATTGTTTCATTTTTATCTACTTTAAGAACTTGTTGGGGCAGCTAGGTGGTGCAGTGGATAGAGCACGGCCCTGAAATCAGGAGGACCTGAGTTCAAATATGACCTTAGACACTTGACACGTACTAGCTGTGTGACCCTGGGCAAGTCACTTAACCCCAATTGCCTAACTAAAACAAACAAACAAACAAAACCACAACAACTTGTTTTCACTTCTGTTCCCAGAGATCTGGAATGCTGATTGCCCTGTAAGTTATTTCTGACCTTGGGTGATTATTATAGTTAATAACAATAGCTCACATTTCTAAGGCACTTTTAAGGTTTACAGTACACTGTCTCCACAGCAAGTGTGAGAGAGGGAGGATAGGTCTATTCTACAGATAATTCTGAGTGACTTGCCTATGTCAGGGTTAAAAACAGAATTAGATAGGGGCAGCTAGGTGGCGTGGTGGATAGAACACCAGTCAGGAGGACCCGAGTTCAAATCTGGCCTCAGACCAAATACTTGACACATACTAGCTGTGTGACCTTGGGCAAGTCACTTAACCCCAACTGCCTCACTAAAAAAAAAAAAGTTAGAGAGAGTTAAAGTTAGAAACAGGAAAACAGAGTTGGATTAGAGTTAGAGTTAAATAAAGAACCACAAAGTTGGCCATGATCTTGTCATCACCCACAAATGAACCACTTCCATAAACTCTGAAAGTTCCTTATCTGATCAAAATCTACCTTCTATCTCTGGTTTACAACTCCAGACCCTATTCTTTGCCCCATCCCTTGACCGCCAATCCCTCTTAGGCCATTCCCCATGCTCTAGTTACACCCTCCACCTTTCCAAATCTTGGCCTCTTGGTGAACCAGTTCAATTCTACACTCCTTTTGAGACTCTTTGTCCCCTTATTGTATCGAAGATCTTGCCCTGCCATGCTTCAGCCTTCGATCACACCTACCTTCCACTGCCTTGCTCCTACACATTGAATAGAGATGGAGAAAAATCACAAAACCATATTGACTGGGTCCACTACAAATTTGCTAGCATAACCTCAACTGGGCTCTCACCGCCACCAGGCAATCCTTTTACATCTCCCTAATTAACTCACTAAATCAGCTAGCTGGCTCAGTGGATGGAGTGCTTCTCCCCCCCACCCTTTGCGAGAGTTCCCTCTTCTCTCTCACTTTTACATCACCTGGATGACTTCCACCACCATGTCCTCCTTTACGCCATCTCAAATGAGGTCCTCCTCCTTGCCAAGGCAAATCCTACGTGCACTAGTGATCCCATTCCATCCCTGCTCCTTCCTCATCTCTTATCTCCTGCCTTCCTCAAAGTCTCAACTAAAATCCCATCTTGAAACTTCAAGAAGATCCCAATGCCCCTTAGTCCTAGGGCCGTCCCTCTATTTATCCTACTTATAGCTTGTTGGTACACATGCTATGTTTTCATGTCTCCCCCATTAGGCTGTGAGTTCTTGGCAGCAGAATCTGTTTTTGCTTTTTTTTGTATCCCCAATGCTTAGCATGATACTTGGCATGCAGGAGGTGTTTAATAAATGTTTACTGACTGACTGATCACATGGTTTGAGTTCAGCCTCTGAGACTTACTAGCTGGGTCTTGGCGTCTGCTTTTCACCCTATCACAACGCCTAAAGCAAGATCTCATTAGGCTGACAAAGGGCATGTGTGTTTTCCTCTTAGAGAGCCTAAGATGGGCACTCCAGCCTCTGTGGTGAGCGAGCCACCCCCCGGGCAGACACCAGCAGGAGTCCGGGGACGAAAGCAAGCCTCTGCCAACATCTTCCAGGATGCGGAGCTACTACAAATTCAAGGCTTATTTCAGCAAAGTGGTGACAGGCAGGCTGAGGAGCGAGCACAGATCATTTGGGAGTACGCCGGGAACCACGGGGTGGCTGAAGCCTTGAGGCAGCTGCGCAGGAAGAAAAGACGGCCGGTGGGCCACTCACTGCAGCACTGCAGTCGACGTAGGTGGGTTTCTGAGGCTGGGTAAAGAGTGGTCGGGGGCATTCGTGGAGAATAAAATCCTAGTCCTTATAGCCATGGGCAGCCTTGAACCTCACCCTACAATGAAGCTGCCATGATATTTGGGAAGGGGATGGCATAGGTCTCAGTATATTGTTTAATAATAAGAACAGGGGCAGCTAGGTGGCACAGTGGATAGAGTACCAGCCCTGGAGTCAGGAGGACCCGAGTTCAAATCTGGTCTCAGACACATGATACTCGCTAGCAGTGTGACCCTGGGCAAGTCATGTGACCCTGGGCAAGTCACGTAACCCTGATTGCCTCACCAAAAAAAAAACCAGAATAATGAGAATAAAAAGAATAAAGCAGCTAACATTTAAACAATGTTTTAAGGGCTACACGGTACATATAGGGGTGTGTGTATTCACATTTCAGCTTCACAACCCTGTGAGGTAGGTGTTATTACCTCCACTTTACAGATAAAGAAACTGGGACTAAGAGCTTTCAAAGTCATCAAACTAGAAAGTGTGTTAGGCAGGATTTGAATTCAGATCTTTCTGAGGCTCCTTATACCATGCCACATAGTTGCCACATTTGAGCTATGTACCTGGGCAAGTCCAGTTTAGCTGTGGACCCAGGCAAGACTTCTCACCTAGCGCTCTCCAATGAGTGGATTCATCGTCAGACCGCAGCAGATGCCATCTTATGAGCCAAGAACTAGAGATCCCCAACAGCTTGAGAGGAACCAGATGCCACACGCTGGTAACCACAGGTGGTGGTTTGGGCAGCAGAGCTCTTCTGGTGCCAGTATAATCCCGGCGTTTTTGAAGAACCTGGAATATCCTACGAGCCCTCATTTTGTCTTCCCTGCCAGTGTAATGACTCAACTACTATCTATACTTGTTCCTTACAGAGTACCAGAGGACTGCTCTGCACCTGCCAGCCCCTCAAGCAGTACCATAGAGCTGACCACCAACGGGCAGCATCTAAACCCAAGAACCAGTGCCAGGAACCGGCGGAGCTGGAGAAAGACAAGCCCCACAAGCTATCTCCACCAGATTAGACACTGACCTGTTGAGGGCAGCTGAGGTTACCCTCCCCAGGAACTCAGATGTTACCTGAAGGGAGAAAGAAGCGAGACCTGAATCAGCCAGCCCCACCAGGGCAGATGAAGGTTCTAGCCAAAGGGGAAGTTACTGCCTATCCTACTCAGTTAAGGAATAGGTGGGGGGCTTCTACTGATCTCTTTATTGTGTGGGACTTGCTCTTTCCCAGAGTGAGTGAGAACATTAACAGCTTCTACTATTAAACAACCCCCCTTCTTCCAAACTAACACTATAGTGAGACTAAACTACATTCCTCAAGATTTCTGATGGTCCCAGGCTCAGGCCCAGGTTATTTATTACTAAGTCTTTAACCAGTAGTCTAACAGGCCCATCCCAGGGATGTCAATAATAATTCATAGCACTTTTAAGGTTTACAAAGCACTTTACTCACAACAACCCTTTGAGGTAGGTAGTGCAAGCATTATTTTCCCCACTTTACAGATGAGGAAACAAAGTCAGCAAGGTTAATAGACTTGCCCATGGTCACACAGCTAGTAAGTGTCACAGGTGGGATTCAAACCCAGACCTCAACTCTGGATTCAGCACTCTTTCCACTACACCGAGCTGCCTCTTTCTTTGCCTACCTGCCAAAAAGACAAAGGCAAAGAGAAAACTCTGGCTAGAGTTTCCTTGAGTAGACAAGAATATTTAATAATAAAAATTTCTCATAAAGCACAGTGTATTTGTCATGAAACAGGTAAATAATGATTGGGAGATTAGACTTGGAGAGAAGTGGGACAAAGGGTCTCTAACAAGCAAACCTGCTATTTCAGGCAAGCTGCCACTCCCAGGGATCCCAACTCTGGTATCTCGAAGTCAGAGATGGAGGGCCCAAGTCACCTTTCTTTCCAATTTCACAGAGGCGAAAGGTCTTCAGAGACTCATAAAACCCTGAGGCCTTGGTATGAGCATTTATACCAAACTGGTGTGACCAATGACAAGTGGGAGCTATTTCAGTTCACAGACAAAAGGAGACACCTTGCTAAAGTAAGACAGCACTAAAGAACAACTCGTGGCCGAGAACAGCTTGGCATGGCTGACCACTGAAGTTGTGAGATCAGCAGCTCCAAGACCTGCACTCCTCCCAAATAAGAGGAGAGGGTTTGTTATCACCCCCTGTAACACAGATACCATTCCCATATCCATACAGGCCACCTTTTTTGCCACCAGTCATAATATCCTCCAAGGGAGGACCCGGCTCACTACTGGCTGAAGGATCTGCTCTCTAGTAATCAATCACCTTCCCATCCATAACCTAGCAGGTCCAAAGGCATCCCTGTGCAAGGCTACCCTCTAGTGGCCAGGAATGAAGCTAACACATCCTTTAGCATTTTGCTCTTCTGGCCCCAGGCGCTTCGCTACTACTTTAAAAAGTGATGCTGGCTACAAAACAGGTCTTGTTCAAGAACAATTGCTCTTTGCTCTTTGCCCTAAAAGCATCACTTCCCCTCCTACTAAGAAAGCCAGGCAAAGAAGGCCGGAACTGAATTCGTTATTTGTACATTTGCATTGTTATAAATACATTACATACAGTTTCTGCAGTGCATTAGAACAATACGTGACAGCAGCAGCGATCACGGTAACCAGGACTCCACTTCTTTTCTCCTCACTGCTGGAACGAAGCCTCTTGCCGACAAAAAAGAGCCAATTTGCTCCATTCTATTCAGAAGATTCCTACTGGATCTCTAGTTCCTTCCAGTCTATTCAGGGCAGCCTGAAACCAGCCTCCAACACTTCTAATTACCAGGGGCTGGGAAGAGACCCTACATCCATGTCACTGCTAGGGGACAGGAACTAACTCCTTCCCCAGTCTCAATTTCCTTCTGATCCTCTGCTCATCTTAAACAGGATAAACAATTTAATGATTTAACCATCCCCATCTTAAAACTTCAAGGGCTCTCCCCATCCTTCTGGGGGAGCAGGTGGGGTGGATGCAGAGGGAACTTGACATCTGATGTGTATCTATAAACACATACACACCATAAGGAAAGTTCTTTTCCTCCAAAAGGCCTTTTCACCCGTGAAGAGTTTGGAGCTTGGTTCTGGTTTCCACAGAATTGGGCAAGCTGGCCGTAGAGACCTCCAGTCTCCATGGGAGTCACTTGCCTTCTCAGTGTAGGTCCCTCATTTTCACATGCGTGTCACCCAGCCTAAGAATCAGGATGAGATTGTTGATTGGGATTGTCAGTGCTAGACAGCTAGGTTGTCCCTATCCTTGGGGCCATGCAGAAGGACTTACATACTCTTCCTGACAGAGAACAAAAATCCTATGGAAGGCTGGTTCTTTCTAGAACACAAGGGCCAAGAAGAGAGGTGATCACCACTACTGCTTTCTTGCCTCCGAGGGAGAGACTGGACAGGCTGAGGGCACTCTCTTCTTTGGTTACTGGTCAAACCATCTTTCTCTGCAAGGCTAATTCCGCTGTTTGTGACAGGGAGGGGGCTGGAACCCATACAGCTGTAGTAGTACAGTGTACCATCCTCAAAAAAAGAACTCAACTGCTACACGAGATAGGCTCTATTCCACTGTACTATCAAAGAGCCTTTGCATGGAAAAGACTCCTAAACCTGGCAAGGACAGCAGCTGGAGGAACAGTCACATGAAGGCAAACTGCTGGAAGCAGTAGGATGGGTGAACTGAGGAGGCAGTGAGGGACTCCTTCCTTTGGGGCCTGCTTTCTTAAAAAAGGGAAAACTGTCTAATAGAGGGAAAAAGATGGAAGGAAAGAATATTAACAACATTTACTTCCTGCTGTCCCACTCTGAAAAGCATGTCACACAAAACAATAAAATTCGGGTTTTGTTTCTTGCACCTCCATACCTTCTCCCAAGGAACAGACAACAGGAGCAGGTCAGTGGGGTGGACCAGGCACTAGCAGCCAGTAAAAGAAGGAATTGAAACCCTTACTCTAAGAGCCAAGGCCAAGCATGAACTATAGGCAAGATGAAGCAAATGGCCGGATAAGCTTTCTCAAGCACTGGATTCCTCTGAGAAAAGAACTGGAAAAGAATTTAAAAGTCTAAGAACACATTAGAGGGCTGAGACTGAAGCGTGCTGAGGGAAACAAAGTCTACTTTAGTTGCTAGGGCCAAGCACTCAAGAAAGTGGGATTGGGATAGAAGTATGACAGACCAATCAAAGCAAGGTCCACTAAGTTTAAGAAGTCATAAAGACAAGTCAACTCCAGCTCCCAGTGTACACATCGGGCCATGTGGAGAGCTGAATGCTGGGAATGTGCCTCCCTATTAAAACAAGTCTGACCACTACTGCCTCTGCTTGAGTCACAACTGCACAGCAGGCCTGAGAGCCAGTAGGATCCACATGGGCTTAGGCAAAGCTGCCTAAAGCCTACAGTTAAAATAGACTTTATAAAAATAAAACCACAACCACACCAGTAGATTTTGAAGCAGACTATATGCCACTGATGAGGTGGAAAGGGAACAGAGGGGACTTTCTGGTGGGTCCTGGTGGGCAGAAAGAGTAAAAACTAAAAGGAAAGGTATGACTTTTCCACTCAAGGTCTCACAAGTGTTATCCACTTTGATGCACTGTGACACAATCTCTCACCTCCATGGTACACAGGGAACCAAGGCTCCTGAATTCAACCAAGGTTATTTCTGAACTGGTATCACGTTGTGTACATTTTTGAGGGATAATGTTCTGCCAGGATATTGCTGCTAGGGTTTAATGTTTTGGAGGGTTTTTCTGATGCAGAATATAACAAGTGATAGGGAGCTGCAGCAGAGTAGGGTACCTGGGATGATGCAGCTTGGTGAAGTTCAATGAGGTGTTCTCTCCCTAGCGCCCCTACCACTCCCCTGCAGAATTCTGACCTCACACAGAAATGTAAAAGGCAACACCAGGGCCCAAGACTGCCCCAGTATGTCTGGAAGTGGTTCTCCCCATATTCTGCAAAGCTCTTTGGCTCTGCCAGAGGGGAAGGGTTCTCAGGTATATGATTCCACCTGCTTCACTGGCTTATCTCAAAAGCTGCTCCCCAGGTTCCCTCCCAGTCCCCAAGTCTGAGACATCATCTCATTTGCTGGCAGGGCTACCACCAGGAGAAGAAGGGTTTCCGGCTCTGAAAGCTCTGCGTGTAAGACTCGCTGGAGCTCCGCTGGTGGGACCGGGCTGTCTCCACAATCACAGGTGGCATCTGGACTAGATGAAGGGGGCTTTTATTGTCTTTCAGGGCCTGGCTTAGATTCAAAATCTGTAACAAGAAAGAAATTAGGTAAAGGGAAAGCCTAGGGATTATTTTAGCCTTCATGTAAAGGGAAATATCCAGATCAACTGGTCCACCTAGTTGTACAGAAGCCAACTGGAAAAGAGAAAAAAAACTTATTTTTCCATTAGGTTGCAACACTACCCTAACAAGGGTAAAAGAAAGGATATTTCATTCTTTATTTGGAACCTCCCCTCTCATGAATGAATGAATGAATGAATGAAAATGCATTTACTGATCCCTTAGAGTATACCAAGCACTGTGGCCACACAGAGAAAAGCCAGAGAGTTCATGGTCTCTCATCATTGTCCCTTCACCCTTCTACAGCAACATTTCCTCTCTCTTCATAGAGCGGCAGATCTGAGCCAAGTGTGCTGACAAGCATACCTCAGGGGAACAAAGCAGAGAGCCAACAAGAGCGCTCCCAAGCACATTCAGCCTAGAGGCACAGCACGGATTTGCTGTCATGAGCACACATTGTCACTCCTGCTCCACTCAGAACTACTCCTATTCCTCTAGAATAGGCAAGAAGGCTCCAGCCATTTCTTTAAACCAGCTGGGGGCCAAGATTCCCACAGGGAGGTGTCTACCCTTTCAAGCCTAAGGACTGAGAAGCCTAGGAGTGAGATCTCTTAAATGCTCTTCCTTGGAACACTTCTGCTTCAATCAATGAGGTCAAAGGATAAGGGAAAAGCCATATGCTACTTCCAAGACTGCAGCAGGTCCTACAGAGAGTTAGCTTTTCTCCTGAAGCAATATGGGCTCTTAAGAGGAATGAATCATTTACTTAATTTGTCTGGTTTTTATGATTTGGGAAATTATAGGGAATCTATGTAATCTTAACTAACCTCAATCACAAAGTATTTTACAGTCCTTTTAACCTCTGTCTACCTTATTCCCAAGGAAAAACAGACACCAGTAAAACCAAGGGTTTATTTCACCTGAGACACCTATGGCTTAGAAGTAAGGAACATCTATGTGGACAGTTATCAGTGCAGCTGAAAAGTCTGTTATGCTACAAAAGTCTGAGTATCTGATTTTTCTATATATAGAGGACCACTGCTTCTCAAAAATTTCAACACTAATCTAGCCTTATGTTTAACTATGCATTGCTGAGTTGAAAATGACTCCTGGTGTGTGGTGATGCCCTCTTTGTTTCTCCAGAAGCCTTTGCCCATTCTGACCAGCAGGTAGAAGGTGAAGGTGGTTATAAGCAGAGCAGAAAGAAAGGGGGAACAGCTGGTGCATGTGACATTGGGGCTAACGAGTGCAGATGGACAGGTGGCTGGGCTCCGTGTATCACAAAGTCTCCTATGTTATTTGGCATATTAACAAGTGGGTCATGAATCAAAAAAATGCTGGGAGATACTTGCTAAATGCATTTGCTTAGCGTGACAAAGTTGTTGATCATCCTAAAGAGACCCTAAGGTGGACCCTAGAAGGTGTATACTGAGCCTACCTGTCCCCGCATTACAGCAATTTGCTTGTGAAATTGGCCCCTGTCAAAACCAGGATCTTTCTGCAAGAGAAACAGGATGAGATGAGACTCCAAGTAGCATAGGTCCTTCCATAATTAGAAAGCTCTTACTAATAAAACCCAAGACTGGCTTTATACATTTTGGTGAAGCCTAATTATAGCCCAGGATTAACACATTCCATAATTCACAAATGGGGAAACTGAAGCACAAAGAGGGTAGATGACTTACCTGGATCACACAGTTAGTTAACATAGACCTCAGAGTTGCTGACACTCTCTCACAGCAAAAGGGGCTGACTGTGCTCAAAAGCCAAGTGAAGCACAAGATTCCTATCAGTGCTATCCACAACACTGGGACTTTCTTTGACTCTGAAAAGAGTAGCAGCCAGGCCTGTGCCCTCCCAATCCTAGTTCTGCGCCTGCTGGGTTCTAATGCTTCAGTTCAGGGATGGAGATGGATTGAAGTACAGAATTTCAGTCAATTAAGAAATCACATTTAGTAGATGTCAGCTCTACCCTCTTCACTTATACTAAAGTTGACTGAGACATACTTACTTCCTTTACACTAGTTAAATAAGGTTGAAATTCCCAAGGCTGACCTTGAAGAGCTCATACAGGTCCTCTTCCAGGTCCTTGATGAAGTTAGGATCAGATATCTTTGGAAGGATCAGGTCTTTGATTTCCTGGGAAAAGGGAATTTTGGCTTGGGGCAGCCAAGCCCAATAAAAAGGATCTGAAAGAAGCAAAGAACAAAAGTAAAAATCCACCATTGGGGAAATTCTAGCTCATCTGTGTTCTCTTCCTACAAGAACACTCTAAGAAAGTACTACCCACAGCTCCATTCTATAGCACTTAGAGCATAAAAGCAAAATGCACAAGGGTTATTGAACTCCAAAGTAAACTAAATTCTAACTAAAAGTATGTTACTTGCCTCTCAAACATGGATATGAGTCTCCTAAAAAGGCAGGGTAGGGGGCCAACTTAATATTTTCCACCCCGTCTCAGAGAATTATCAACTATGGTTGGACAGGTATCATCTTTAGGAGGCTCAAGTAGGGAAAGAGAGCATAGCACTTCACAGCTATTCCAGAGAATCATAGGCTTTTCAGGGAATTAAAATTTTAGACTGATGAGAGATTACAATAAGGGAAGGAGTTAGGATAGGTAGAAAAGTATAGCGTCTACAGTATAGGAAAGTCTTGCTGGTCCTGAGAAGGGAGAACATAACTCTAATTTATGGTTTCCAAGAAGAAAAGCCTGAACCACTACGGTCTTGGGACTTACACGCCCTCCAGGAGTCAGGATGCTTCAGAGGGAAAGCCAGCCCATTGTCTATGGCAGCCAGTTTGATAACAGGCTCCTTCACCACTACCCAGTCTGTGTCCTGGAGGGGAAGGGAAGGCTTATTACACAGGGATGCCCATTACCAAAATCCGCCAGTCTCATCCCCTTTATATTGTAAAAGTGGTTTTCTCACCTTGTCAAATCCATCCATCCTAGATCACCCTTCCTCTTCAATTTATTTCTCCTTATTTATCCTTTTGCAATGGATCCAAACTCTTGCAACATTTTCTCTCTGACTGAATTAAAGTTCTAAGGCTTTTTCCATCTTGGAAAAGTTTAGCAATCTAAAAGCTACTCTTCCCTCAAGAGAGGGGGATTAGTGATCTAAACCCAAAAGAATTACAGACCAAGAAGGGACCTTAGAAATCATATAATCCAACTCACTCATTTTACAGGTGAGGAAACTAGGACCCATAATGAGCAAGTGATCCGTCTGAAAGAGTCAGTTCACGGTAGCGCTGGGGGGTAAGCACCCAGGTCTCCAGTCTCCCAGGCTAGTGCTGTTTTCACTATATCACACCACTTCTCCAGACAGAGATAAAGAAAATAGGATTGATGATTCTAAGCTGAAAAGTGTCAAAGTAAAGGAAATGAAAATCCTCAAAGAGTGGAAAGGAGAAAGAAAACTTGGTCTACTTTCCAAGTGTCTATTGTGCAAAGCTGGCTCCACAGGCACTGCTGATTTCCAGCATGGGGACAGAATCACTAAGCAGAACCAGCTGCTCTTTCACAGGAAGCTCTACTCCATGAGCTCACTGGTACACAGAGCTAAAGCACACAGGGAAGTATACCTGCCTTAGGGGCATAACAGCTGACTGGTGGGAGGAGAGGCCAGACACTAACCCCTGAGCCTCAACAGGAGACATGCTGCCGATGGGAGAGAAGGATAACAGGGCAGCAAGCCACAACAACCTCCTATATTCACTCCGGGCAACTAATCCAAGGCATGAGTTACTGTCTAACACAGTGACGAGTATAGGTAGGCAACCAGGATGAGGATCGTGGATGAAGAAGTGTGATTAGGGAAATAAGTCACTAGTGATGAACTCTCCCATCAAAGCTTTAAAGAATGCATTAGGGTAGTTATCCTATCCTGCTCTTTTCTGCCCAGTCTGACCCAGATCCCTATTCATCTAATCTCCATTTGTGGATTTAAAGATCCTATGATTAATTTACTATGGGAACAGTTCATTGGTAGTATGTCATGCATTAAGAATCCTCTTCAAGGATCCTTTCTCTACCAGGGCTTCTCAGACTCTTACCCGGTAGCTGGAATTATCCATCGGACAATCATATTTGATCAGCCAATTGTCATTGCCTCTATCTGCAAACAGAAACATCAAAGGTCAGCAGGGAAAACTGCATACCAGCAAGCTCTAATGTGGTAGGAATGGGCAGGGGTTAAAGTCACTGCTTACAATTCATCAAACTGACATCAGTAACCTGGAGCCAGGGAAAAGAAAGCAAGAATCGTCTGTCTGGGGAGGGAAGCTGGCTAGGGTAAAGAGTTCTAATACTAGTTATGGGCCTTCCCACCTCTGGTAGCTGATACCATATTCGGGTACAGTTTAAGTCCTCAGAAAATCTCTGCTGAAAATGCGGTAACTTATAAGCTCCAGAAGAGGACAGGGAACAAATGTAATATAGCAGTAAAAGCAGAAGTCTATGTCAGTTGCGTAATAGACTACCACCCATATTCAGAAGAGGCAGAAATTCTCTTTCCCCTTCCAAGTTATGATCTATACACCCAGCTGCCCTTCTTGTAAATCCCAACACTAAGGGTGAGAGTGTTCAGCTACAGGATCCCTTTTCAACTTAGAAAATAACCTAAAAATGTCATGTTGGAAAGGTCCTTGGCTCATTCTAGTGAAAAATTTGGTTCAAGCCAAAGGATCTCTCATTTAGACACTAAGCAACCCACAATCATCTGAAGAGGTTAATCAGATCATTGAGTTTTCAATTCCTACAAATATCTGTGTGTCTGCATAACAGATTACTGGAGTAGGGCTCCCCACAGTAACTCACCAGTGTTTCGGATGATGTAATCTAGTACCACCAACCGTTCAAATTGCAATAGCAGCTGCCGATTAGTGTTCTCAGGCAGTGAATCTGCTTCAAATCGTCGCAGCCAATAGTCGGCATCCTTGTAGCCTTCAACAAAGAGCTGGAATGAACCAACCTGGCAGCAGAGAAGAAAGGCAGAGGTCAGACTACTGTTTCTCTGATGTTTAATTCCAGAACCTCCAGGAAGGCCAGATGCCCATCGAGGTCCTGAGAAATCAATACACCAGAAGTTGCCAAACAGTTGCCAAAACAGTATTGTCCTCTTCAGCATTCCATTTCTTTGAAAATGTGGAAGAAGGAAGTCATGAGAGTGGCCACCTAAGAAAACATGCAAAGCCTACCCAGATGGCCTGGCTGAGCTTGTTGGCAGAAGCACACTCAGACACCCCAAGGTGAACAATCCCCCAAGTTTCAGGCTGTCCGGCACTAAAATGAGGACAGAATAGCATGATGAGCTCCCTATGTCCTTTACACACACACACCCACACACACACACACACACCACTCTGAACACACTTTTCTGCAAAATGCCAGCAGCCGAGCCACCAGAAAGCACCTTGCCTACGGATCATTTCTGACACACATGACAAAGGTGGCTAAATCTGCTCTCTACCTTGGGTGGAAGCCCGATTCGGTTAAACCGTTGTCCAACTTTTGGCACTTTCTCTAGGGCAAGTCGCTTCCCCCTGGACTTCACTCGGTCAATGGCACTGTAGTTGAAGGTCTCACTAGCCAGGTATACTACCTAAAGTAGAAAAACAAGAGACCAACTGAAAGGACAATCTGATCCCAGAGACTCCTTGGATATTAATAACTAATAATTAATAACATTAATAACAGCTTAAAACCATTAATAATAGCTCAAAACCATCAGAGAAGAACAGTATTTTTCTATATAAGGATGAAACAAATTCACATTTATAATAAGGTATCATTGCAGGGCACTCTAGCTCTTCCAATATCAGATATGGTAGCTCCTCTAAGGGAGAAGAAAAACTCACAACAAAGGAATTTGTCCATATAAATGTCTGAGGCAATTAATGATAAAAAATTTTCCCTCAAAGTCTCTTTGAAGTACATTGCAAATTTTCTGTTGCCCATCTCTGTAACAGTAGGCATTTAGAAATTAAAATCATTCTAATTTTCTTTGCCTTGCAGATTGGAAAACTAAGGCAAATGAACAGACAAAAGAATGACTTATCTAAGGCTAACGCCAGTCATTTGTAAGTGAGTAGGTCCAGTTTTCAGCTCTCAAGATACTGCCAGTCTTCTCCTCCACACTGCCTTATTTCTCATCCCTCTTTGCAGCACACTATTCCCTTTCCTATGAGTAATGAAACTCTCATAGTCTGAAAGTGAGGAGCAACACTGTACAGGGGAAAGACCACTAGATCTTGAATTAAGGAGCCTCCATTCAAATTCCAGCTCTGCTGTGTGTACTGGGGCCTTAAAAAAGTCATTTAATCTCTAGTTCTGTTTCCTCTCATTGACAATAAGGAGGTAGGACAAAATGACCTCTAATTTTCCCTCCAGCTCTAAATACATGGTCCTATGAAGCCTAATAGAATTCAGGCAGCTAAGGCCTAGATAAGAATCAAAAGGTTATTATTTAAGATTCAACCATACAGGCCGTCTTCATACTGACATCTTCTGATCAACAAAGACTCCTGTGCAAAGGCTCTTGTGACTGAGGGCTCTTCAATCTCTGCTCTCAGCAGCTGCAGGGGATGGAGAGTAGTTTGTTTCAGGCAGAACACAAAATATGAGAAAGGAAGTAACATGAAATAAGATTGGAAAAGTAGGCTAAGTCTAATTAAAGAAAGCCTTGAATGCCCAGGTCAGGGAGATAATGAAGGTTTTTGAATAGAAGAGTTATGTGATCAGAATAGCTCACTTGGAAGATTATCTGAGGCAACTACGAGAAGGATGGATTGAAAAAGTAGATCAATTAGGGGCTGCGAGCACAGCAGCCATCAGAATATGTGGTTTAAAGGTTAAAAGGGAAAAAATACAAGAATCAATCTGAGTTGCTGCAGTAGACAAAAAAAGATGGAAACAGATGAGAGTAATACTATGTAATCAAATCTAACAAAAAATGAAGCTCAGGTTAGGAGTCTAAGTACCTGGGAGATGATGATGCTATCAACAGAAATCAAGATGTTAGAAAGGGTAAGTTAGAGCTCCAGGGGAAATAATGAATTCAGTTTTTAGCATGTTGAGTTTGAGATGCTAGTAGACCAATCAAGTAAAGATACCCAACAGAAAACAGAACGTATCATCTTTCCTTAAACATATCCTTTTCCTAAAACCTACTGCTTTCCTTAACTTTTCTATTTCTTTTGAAAATATCCACATATTTCAAGTCATTCAGACTTGTAAAACCACATTCATCTTTGCCTCTTCCCTTTTTCTTTGACCTCACACATCCCATCATTTGACAAGTCTACCTTTACAATATTTCTCACATCCAAACCTTCCTTTCAACTTCCATTGTAACCACTCTTCTGAGGAGAAGCTAAAGGACAGAGATAGACCTTTAGGAGTCATTTCCATAGAGCTAAATAATTGAAGCCATAGGAAGTACAGGAAGGAAGAGCAGAAAGAGAGAAAAGGAGACTAAGGACAGAACCATGGGGGATGTGTAGTATAGGAAGATAAAGACCCAGAAAGGAAATAAAGAAGGATCAGTCATGAAGGTAGAACCATAAGAGTATCATGTCAGAAATATCAAGGGCCAAGATAAAATCTAGGAAGGCGTGGTCAATAAGAGTCAAATGCTTCCGAGGGAAAAAGAATTGAAAATAGGACCCTAGATTTAGTGAAAAGGAAGTCATTACTGAAAATGGAAAAAGCTGTTTCAAGTGACAGGGAAGGAAGCTAGATTGAAAGGGACTCAAGAAGGGGTGGGTGGTGAGCCTAGGGGAGGGAGTGAGAGTACACTATTCACTAGAATTCTGGTAAGGAAGCAGAGACAGAGAGAAGATTGTGGGGTTAGAGAGCTCAAGGGAAGAGGTTTTGTTTTGTTTTCACAATTGAGAGGAGACCTGAGCATGTTTGTAGGTGGAGAGGAAGACCGAAGATGTGTTAGAACAAGAGGATTACTGTCACACCAAAGGGACAAGAGGGAATAAAGATAAAACTGAAGACATAAGTGGAAATTCTAGCCTTACTTAGCAAGGAGGATTAATTATTCCTATGAAACAAGAAGGAAGAAAAAGATGGGTACTGACACTGTAAATAACACTGCTAGGTACTAAGGAGGATAGACAAGAATTTGAAAATCAAATAAAAGAATGTAAGCTCTTCGAGAGTAGACCACTGTTTTTGTCTTTAAGTCTCAGTGCCTTGCACATATCAGGGGCTTAATGGCTGTGGAAATGAATATTAAAGTATTATGTAAACTGTAAAACATTAAATGTAAGATATTATAATCATTCAGATGTGGTATTGGTGTTATATTGAGACCTAGAGGTGTTGTTCAGACACATACTTCAAACATGCCCATCATGAAAACATTTTAGGATTTTTAATGTTTGTCTTTATATCCCCGTACCTGGCACAGTACTTGGCACAACATCATGACTTAGTAAGTGCTTGTTGAATGAAAGAATCTTAGATGCCTGTCAAATAATGCTTGAAAATCACGGAAACAAACTATGCCACATCCTTCTACCTGAAGGGACACTACACTACAGACAGGACTTAATGCTTTGCTGCTCTTTGCTACGTAAGATTTCAATGAAAATCAGCGCCCCTGCCTTGCATTCTAAAGATCAAATGAGAAAGTTCCTTAATTTGTGTAGGTGAGTTCCATAATTCATGAAAGGGTCAAGAGACAGTCATTTATTCCTCACCCATCTTCAGGTACTATCCTTTCAAGAGCTACTGAACTCCCCTAATGACCAGTGATCATAATTCAAATGAGTTATGAGCTGTTTTTGTCCTTCCCTACACAAAGTGTTCTTATAAGAAGTCACACGCTGGTCTTGAGATGCCATTCAGCCTTTAACCCTAGGAAGTTTAATGGGTTCATAAGAACATTCTACAGTCTGAATTTGGATAAATATGAAAAATACAAAGAAATATGGAAAGACATTTATATACACAGTGATTGTGATTGTATTAAAAGAAATAACAGCAATGAAATTTGACAAGTAAACAGATGGAAAGGTAACTGCAAAGGGACATAGCAAATAAGATGTTATTGTAATTATTTTACCAAATTTATACATACACACACACACGCACATTTTCCTTTTAGGAAACAAAAGTTTGGAGTTTCAAGTTTGATTAATTCTTTGTTTCTTTTATTTGCTTTTGCTGAGATAGTTAATAAATTTATATTAAAATTGTGTTTAAAATTTGAAAAGAAAAAACAAACAGGCTCTAGAGAATTTGTTTTGATCTACAACTGTCCTTGGAAATCCCCTGTAAAGTCCAAACAATTCTCACACTCCCAGAGAATCTTTGACTCATCTCTTTACCCAGGATCCCAAAACTATACCTTGCCTCCAACCCCCTTGTCCTAAAAGTCCCCTAGATCATAGTCTAACATGAACATAACACTGATAGCTCAATTAACTGGTACACTCTAGGCTGTAGCGGAATTTCTAGAATGGTCATAGGTGCTCTACCAGTTCTATTCTCTAGGAATCTCCCAGGATCTAGGAGAATGAGTCACAGGAATTTCTGCGGTCATAGACAACTTAGAAAATGGATAGGCCTAGAGGCAGCTAGGTGGCACACTGGATAGAGTACCCACCCTGGAGTCAGGAGAACCTGAGTTCAAATCCAGTTCAGAAGCATAACACTCACTAGCTTTGTGACTCTGGGCAAGTCACTTAACTCCAACTGCCTCACCAAAAAAAAAAAAAAAAGTAGGAAAACAGATAGCCCTCACACTGAGCCTGATGACCCTCCTGCAAGTGACTGGGGTTTATAACACCATGAACCAACAAAGGTTTTGATACTCCCACGGAATACCTAACTTACCTTAGTACGGGGTACAATATTGAGTTCTAGTTTTTGGTCCACCAAACTGGCCCCTGCCTCTGATAGATAGCCCTGATTGAGGACGAGACAATCACGGCCAAAGCAACAGGGACAGCATAGCTTCTGTAGCCATTTGGTCCACTTGGGGTTAAGGTGCCCATATGGCTCTTCATTCTTGGGTTTGAAGACACCGATGATTTTCTACATGGAAAAGAGAGACAGGTGATGAGGGAGAAGAAAGTAATAAAAATGGATGGGAAAATAGCAGAATAGTCCCATACATTTCCTACAAAGAAAATAAACAACTTTGTCTCTACAGCACAAGGGACAACTTTATGCATGTAAATTAGAATTTTGGAAAGAATTTTCTTCCTTTCCACATTCTGGCCCTAAATCATTAACTATTTTTAACCCATTCATTACCTTTGCCTACAAGCTGTTCCAAACCACAGGGCAAAGTTATATACCTCCACAGAAGGCCTAGATGCAAGGTCTTAAGAGTATGGAAGCCAAGTTACATGATAGTCAAGTTAATGGTAGCCAAGTATATCTTCAGGCAACAGTCAAGTCACTCTCTTTTGGCAATCCAATATAGCTCCCTCACAGCAAAGAGAGAAATCACACTAACATTATCAAGCTTCAACTTTTAAATCTTATAGCAGCTATTATCAATTAGGTGTGGACACAGTGTATATAAACGAAAATAACCAAGGTATCTTTTAATGAAATGAATAAAATCCCTCTCTTAGTTGCTTACTTCCTCCAACAGTCTTACTATACCCCCTTTGAAATTAAAAACAAACAAACAAACAAAAACCTCTAAAAACAACAACAAAGGAAACACCCTAAGAAAGAATCACAATAGTGACTGAAAGGACCTATTACCAGGCTCCGGTGAAGTGCTCATCAATCTGTGGAACCTCTGCTTATTGCATCACTATGCTCCAGGGTTCTTGGCACCTAAGAGCGCTTCTGGCTACAAATCTACCAGCTGGTAGTCACTTGTATTCCATGCCATTATGAAATTTCTCTCACTGTGGATGACCCTATAGGTTGGTCAACTTTTTGAAGTTGTTTTTTCATTTGCTTCAATCCTTCTTCCAGTAAATATGCTGACTTAGCCTTCTAACACAATGATTCACTAACAAATCATATGATTCTTTCTCTTCCCCTCACCCTCCCAACCAACTCAAGATAGTCTAAGTCACAGGATTTTTTCAAGTCTCCGTCATTTCCCGAGGATTAGATGATAGCAGAACACATACAGACAATTAATAGCCAACCCTTGCAAAAGACAACCACTCACATTAGAGTTGGCAAAGTATCTAACTCCATCAACAGCTACCCAATAACAGAAGCAATTCCTGCAGAAAACCAAGTTGACCCAGAATTTGGGATAGTAGGAGGGACACAGAGCTGTCCTGCCCTCCAAAAAATTCATCAGTTCTAAAAAACATTTACTGCATATACAAATTCCTCTTTCATTTGCAGCCATTCCCAATCTGGCTGCAACCTATCTTACGTTTCCAAATTGATTTCACATTATTCCCTTTCATGCCAAACTGGTGTACTTCCTGTTCCCTACACATGACATTTTTCCTATTTCCATGCCTTTAAACACTCTATCCCCACACCTGTAATGTTCTCCCTCCTCATCTCCACCTCCTAAATTCCCTAGCTCCATTCAAGGCTCAGCTCAAGGTCAGTTTAGTACTGAAGACCTTTCCTGATCTCCTTTAGCATTTCCTTTCTCCCTCTCCTCAACATTTTCTATTTACTTTATGAATATTTTGCATTTATTCATCTATTGCTCCCCTTTAGGAGTTTCTAAGCAACTTGAAGGTAGGGACTGTCTCCATTTTTGTCTTTGTAACTCTTGCACCTAGCATAGTGCCTGGCACACAGCAGGTGCTTATATTAAACTGAATTCACAGTGTAGCTCCTCAGAATTAATTGTGTATCCAGAGATCACCAAGTTAAGGCACAAGGAACAAAGACTCATTAGCACTCCCTTGCTATAGGTCTGTCAAAGAAAAATCCCCTTCCTCATTTTGCCTATTCTACATCCCACCTACCCCCAAAGTCCTCTGGGTCAGAAGCTGGCCTGGACTTAACAGTGACACTCTCGAGTGACTCTAAAGTATCTCTGGACCCATCGTAAGCTACATCTGATGTCATCAAGTGGTCCCAAGAAAGATGAAAGTTCAGAATCTACCTGCTCAGGGAAGGAATGGCCTAGTGACCTTCCTGCACTTTGTCTGGGACACAAGGAATTATTAAGCTAGCCCCCTAAAAAAAATGAAGACCAAGTTATTCATACCTGTTGGGGCCAAAAGAAAACTAGAGCTACTAAGGACTAAACATTTCTACTTAAAGAAAACAGACCATCAAAAGTCAACATCACTGTGAAATAAGACCTCTCTACCATGCCAGGGATATTATCTTCTCATTGAAGAGAACAGCCATCATGAATTTCAAAGAATTAACACTGTTGTCACTAAGCTACAACACAGACACACACACACCCCCCTCTACTTCCAATATGGACAAGTGAAAGCAAATCATAGGAACATAGAGTTACTACTGGAAGGGACCTTGGAGATCATCTTGTCCAATCCTTTCATTTTGCAGATAAGGAAAACTGAGGCCTACAGAGGTTAAGTGACTTGCCAAAGGTCACGCAACTATCAAGTAGCAGAGGTAGGATTCAAACTTAGGTCCTTTGACTCCAAATTCAGTACTCTTAACATTGCACCACAATGCCTCCTCAGATCTGTGGGCCATCAAGATTGACCAACCAGCAACTTGAAACGTATCATTTTGGTGTATGCTACATTTACTTTGTGAAGAATGAATGGCATGGTAGTATTAATTTGTTTACTATGCACACACGTATACATACATACACACACATATGTATATATGTATGTGTACTTTGACATCCCCTTCATACAGAGTGTAAGAATGTTCACAGTCCCTCTAGGTCATCATAAAGCCTTCCCAGGCAAGGTCTCTAGATCCCATAAGCTCAGGTACAAAGGTGGCAATCCTTTTATCTCTCAGGCCAAATAAACAGATCACATTACTGCTACCTCCTGTGTCAGAGCATGGGATCATTTTCTCAGCTGACCTGGCTCACTTCCATTAGAAATATAAGTGTTAAAAAAAAAAAATCTTTCTCCTGCTTCCCCTCCCATCTAGAAGTATTCTCCAGTTCCCTCTCACAAACAAAGAACAACAAAATCTTAAAAAATAATTTATTAGCTCTTAGATCCCAATCTGTTTTCCAAATGACAAGGACGAAAGTAATAAAGGGAAGGTGGTATGGCACAAGGACCAAAGGACCAGTACTAGAAACAGGTTGAGTCCTGTTTCTGAAACATGGTGTAAACAAGTTACTTAACTTCCCTGGGCCTTGGATTCCTCATCAGAAAAATGAAAGGTGTGGCCTAGATGTAGATGGCACGTGAGATCCTATCACTAGCCTTTTGGAGAGGTCAACCACTTTGATTTGCCCACTGCTTCCAACCAAAAAAGAACAAACTTATATCATTCAGAAATGAACACCATTCTTCAATACCCACCCAAGGGGAGTGGGTATCAATGCTATCAATTCTGCTACCTCAAACAGATTCTAATATGCTTGGTAATCACTCACTCCTGTAAATTACAAGGGAATACTCAGAATGCTTGCGGAGAGCCTCTACAAAATCTCCCTGGGAACAAGTGGGTCAGATAAACGACCTGAATAACTAAGGTAACCAAAGTACAGTCATATATATTTACATCACAGCCTAACCTAGTCATCCAAACCTCAGAACTAAAGAGTTCAGAATCCTTCAGAAGAGATAAGTACCAATAGTGTACAAGAGTTCGAAATGTGCTGGCCATGATCTTTTAATAACAGAGAAAATAGATGGTTTTTCAGTAAGTTATTTTGAATTAATTCTTGAGAGGCTTTTAAGGAAGGAGCTGAACACACTGTTTTACCAATGGCACCTCTGATATGATTTCAATCATGGCCTAAATTATTGTTTATTTTTCAAAAGTATAAAAGCAAGAGTTGTGGACAGATAGTCTTCTCCCACACACACTCTGCAGACTCACGAAAAATCTGGATCTTGCCTAATGGGAAAAAATTAGCTACCCCCTGGCTTGAAAAGAGAAACGGAGGAGGAAAGCACCTGACAGCTCCGTGTTTTCTAAGTCTCCATATTCGGAAATGAAGGACCGTAAGAGAAATTTGCATCACTTTGCAGAAGAATTTCGAAAAAAGCAGGACAACTATTTCCAATGATGATGCCACTGGCAAGGCCACCCACTCTGTCATCAGCACCTGCAAACATACTGGGGGAGAGAGACTTGGGTCCCTGACTTTCAGGTACCCCTGCAGGCATGGATCACCCTGACGGAAAATGGACATTCAGGGCCCACGGACGCTCGCGTGGCTTCAGTGAACTCATCTGGTTCTGGACGAAAAGGAGAGCCAGGGCCCCAAGTCTAAAAGCCGGGGGATTCGTGGGCTGGAGCGAAGAGAACTGCTGGAACAGCAACATCTCTCGGCAAGTGACTGCCCCCATCCTGAGCCTTGCGGGGCCCGTCTCCCCACAAGCTCCGCTTCCTCTTTCATTTCCTTCCCGTCTCCAATCGGGTTCTGATTTGATTCTAAGTTCCCCCGCGTCTCCCCACGCTGAGTTTGCTTTCCCCGCCCAGCCTCACGCCCCTCCCCCGCCCCCGCGCTCACCCCCTGGGGGTCCTTGACGAAGTAGCTGCCGCTGGAGCCCTGGTAGATGCGCTCCGGGTAGATGCCGCGCTCGCTCGCCAGCTCGGCCAGCCGCACCACTTCGGCGAACTCGGGGTCGTCCGGGAACTCGTTCCGCTCCCGCTGGGCCTGCGCAGCCTGCGCCGCCGCGTGGGCCTGGGCCGCCAGGGCCTGCGCCTGGACCGCCACGGCCTGGGCCTGCGCCTGGACCGCCGCGCCCCGCGCCCCGCCCGGGCCCCGCTCCAGCAGAGGCTGCCGCTCCCGGTCCCGGCCCGGGGAGCCCGGCGGCGACGGCCCCAAGCCGGACGACGGCACCACTCGCACCACGGCCCCTGGCACCTGAGGGAAGTGAGCGCCCGGGCTCGGGCCCGACGGGAAAGTGTAGTCCGGGGGGTGGGCCCGCTCCGGGGACACCAGGGGGCTCGTTTCGTCCATCCCTGAGGCGGCCGGCTCCAAGACGCGCTCGGCTCAGCGAAGCCCCGGCACCGGACCAATCCGCGTCACTCCCCGGCCAACTCGGCCCCGCCTCCCGGAAGCCCCGCCCCCTCTGAGCCCTGTTTACATGGTGACGAAAAGGGACGGCCCTTCACGCGAAGGCTGACCAATCGAGGCGCGCTCCGACGCAACTCCCCCCCACCTCGACCAGCATTCCGCCCCCTTGGATGAGACTGCGCATGTGCGCAGGTGGAGAGCCTTTCATCTTTACACTTTTTCAGAAGACCTTCCTGAGACGCCTTGTGGTTCTCGGGCGAGCACCGCCTTAATCTGTCAATCAACAAATACTTAAACTGTTCACATCATCATCATCATCATCATTATTATTGTTATTATTATTATTATTATTCACAATCGATTGAGATCTCCTTGAGGGCAGACTGTCTTTTTCATATGTATATATATATTTTTGTATTCCGAGGCACATAATAGTTGCTGAATAAATGTTGATTGATTATCGACTGATTATATACTCCTTGGTGATAGGTGCTTTTCATCCCTCTCCTACCTTGTCACTCAGTTGTCCAGCTACTCTTCTATAGCACAGGTTTCACTATGTCATTCCCCTTTTCAATCAATAAACCCATCTTGTCTCTAGGATCAACTACAAACTCCTTTCTTAGGCTTTTAAATCTCTTCACCACCTGACCCTAATCTACCTTTCCAGGCGTATTGCAAGCTCCTCCCCTTGACAGGCCTCACTGTCCAGCCAAACTGGTTTGCCTGCTGTACCTTACACACAGAATTCCATTTCAGCTGCCATACCTTTCTTTGCACAAACTGTCTTCCCCCATGTCTGAAATTCACATTGCCTCTTAAATCTAGATGCCTTCAAAACTCAAATGCTACCTTATCACCCACCCACCTTCAAGTCTCCCTCCAAAATTACCTTGTATTCAACTTTGACTACATTTTGTATTTATTTATCTGTGTACGTGTTGTTCCCTTACATAACAAATTAAGTTCCCTGAGAGCAGAAATTGACTGTTTTTGTATCCTCAGTATTTAACACAGTATCAGGCATATGTTATTGTTTCATGTCTGATTCTCTGTGACCCCGGGTAGACCATACTGTCTATGGGGTTTTCTTGGTAAAAACACTGGAATGGTTTCTGTTTCTTTCTCCACTGGATTAAGACAAACAGAGGTTAAGTGATTTGCCCAGGGCCACACAGCTAGTAAGTATCTGAGGTTGAATTTAAACTCAGGTCTTCCTGACTCTAAGCCCAGTGCTCTACTCACTGTGTTGTCTAGCTGCCCCATCAGGCGTATAGTAGGCATTAAATACTGTAAGTGCTTGTTGCTTGATTGATTAATTGATTAAATCCAGTATCCAACTCTTCCTATAAGTTCCTAGCTTGGAGGCCAAAGTAAATATTTGTTGAATTGATGTGTTTTTCAGCTTTCTACAGTGAACTGTGGTGATCTCATCATTTCCCTTGGATTCAATTATCTCTAAACAAATAATTCTCAGACTTACTTATCCATCCCTAACTTCTCTCGACCTTTCAGTTTCACAACTCCCACTGCCTTTTGGACATCTCCATTGAATGTGCTGTCAACACCCTAAACTCAACATTTCCTAAATTGTACATTATTTTCACCCCCAAATCTACTCCTAAGTACCCTCAACTATCAAGGGTACCACCATACTCCCAATCACCCAGGTTTACAACATAGGTGGCTTCCTCAACTCCTCCTCTCTCTCACCTCCCATATCTACTAAGTTGCCAGATCCTGTCCATTCTATCTTCACAATATCTCTTGTATATGCACCCTTCTCTTCTCTGTCATGCCTAGTACAGGCCTTCATTGCCTCATGCCTAGACTATTTCAACAGCTTGTTGGTTGCTCTCCTTTGCCTTAAGTACTTCCATTCTCCAGTCCACCTTCTACTCAGCTATTAAAGTGATCTTTTTTCTTTTTTTTTTTAGGCAATTGGGGTTAAGCGACTTGCCCAGGGTCACACAGCTAGTAAGTGTCAAGTGTTTGGTCTGAGGCCGAATTTGAACTCAGGCACTCCTGACTTCAGGGCTGGTGGTCTATCTACTTCACCACCTAGCTGCCCCTTAAAGTGATCTTAAAGTACATGTCTGATCATGTTACACATACCCCTATTCAATAAACTCCAGTGGCTCCCCATTACCTTTAAAATAAAATTATAAAATCTCTTTGGTAGAGCTCTTTTGTCTGAAGCCACATTTAAACTCAGGTCTTCCTGATTCCAGGTCCGGCAGTCCTGTACCACTATGGGGCAGAAAGATACCTTGCAACTCTTAGCACTGAGATTTCTTTTCTCCCTTCTCAGAATCTTCACCAAGTTTGCATTAGATGTAGCACTCTGCTGGCTTCCAAGGACTAATGTCCTTCTAGAGTCCACAGGCAGTCCCTTTCTATCTGCCATGAGGGAGTCATACTGCCTGAAGCTTCAGCTATCTCCAGATGACTGTCTCCACATCCATCTGTAGCCACTAGGACACCTGTGATCATCACAACTGCCACCATTCACCTCTGGCTCTCCTGAACTCATAAAGTCACTGCCTAAATATGTCCACAATACTCATTCACATAATAGCAAAAAAGAAAAAAATATCAGAGACAGAGGAGGCTATATGCTCACTTCCACTATAGTAGCTAGCATTTATATAGCCCTTTGAGATTTGCAAAATTCTTTACAAATGTAAACTCATTTGATCCTCAAAACAATCCTGTGAGGTAGGTGCTATTACTTATTCTCATTTTACAGATAAGGAAACTAAGACACAGAGAGCTTGAGTGACTTGCCCAGGGTCACAAAGCCAGTAAGCATCTAAATCAGGATTTGAACTCAAGTCTCCCTGAGTCAAAGTCCTGCATTCTATCCACTGAACCCAGTGGCCAACTTTCTGAGACTGCTCAAAGTAGTCTTTCCTCCTCAAAGCTGCAAAAGAAAGAAAAAAGTAAAAGAAGGAGCATACCTCTTTTATAGGTTCACTCAGTTTCTGTACCCCTGAGCCAATCAGAAGTCTTTTCACCATTATTCATGCCTCTCAGTCAGGCATGACTGGACTTAGGCTCTCCCCAAGTTCCACATGGTTGCTTAAACTGAAACTAGGGAGGGAATATCTATGTGTGCTCCAAAAATGGGCCTCTGGGTGCCAATCCATCCCTATTACACATATGAAACTCTTTACTGAAATGTGAACCTGTGGGTATTTTCTGATTTTTGTTACCAGGTAAAAGAAGTATAGTTGGAAATGGAAGGATGGTTATGATCAAGATTTGAAATATTGAGAAAGCATGTGACCAAGTCTAAGTATTTGGTCCTTCTTGCATCATCATCTTCTGGTCACCTAATAGAAAATGCAGTATCAATAAAGACCTTATTAAAAACTTTCTTTTTTATCCTCAATAACAGTGGTAGAGCCAGCATATTTAGTCTCTGACATCTTACTGCCTGGAAAAAGCTAAGATGAGAGGAGTGACTAAAATAGACCTAGTATATACAGAGAAGGTTCCTGTGAAAGAGACAGTCTTGAGGAATTGATTCTCAAGGTATCTGAAGTTTCATTTACCCCTTTTCTGCTGAAGCCAGGGAAGCCAGGAGGAAGGATGAGGAGGGAGAGTATTCTAGGCATCGGGGACAGCCAGGAAAAAAAAAAATGTCTGAAGTAGGGAGATGGAACGTCTTGTTGGTGGACGCTAACAAAAGGAATAGGGTTGGTGACTCCCAACGCATCTAAGCCATTTGAGCAGCCAAGCATTGAAGATTTGAGAGGAAGAGGGATGTTTGGCGGGAACAATGAAGTAGTTTAGGAAAACCAAGCCACACAACAATCAAGCCTGACGATATATGCAGTACCCATGGTCCCCACCTCTTCAAAGAAAGGAGGGAAGGCAAAGCAATTTAAATATACTAGCACGCAAACTGTGCAAATTCATAGGTGGAAAAACTAAGGGCAGTGATGCTTTACAATTGTGATGCTGGAGAAAGGTGCAGAGAGGCTTAGTCTTAAGGGCTACTGGAGTGGGAGCGCTTCTTGCTTTAGAGTCTTACACGAGCTGTCCCTCGTAGGGGTCACACACCGGTTACTAGTACCCTCAGAGGATGCGGGATGGCCGAGCACAATCCTGCCCGGAACTGCCGTTCTCGGGCCCTCACCTTCCAACGGCCCATCCCTTCGTTACACTCTTTGCCCCGCACAAAGATGGAGCATGCGACGCCGGAACGGCCAATGGCAGGAGGCGTTGCTACCGGTTGCCCAGGTAACAACCAACGGGCGGCGGGGACTCTGCTCGGTGCCGCGCCGGGCCCCGGAGGGGGCGGGGCCGGGGTCCGAGTGGTGGAGCGGCCGGCAGCAGCAGCTGGCCAGGCGGAGTCGGGACGCAGCAGCCGGCACTCGGGGTCTCGGGGGCAGCGCAGGTCAGCCGGCGGGGGATGGGGGTGGGGGGAGGGCACGGGGTGGAGGTGAGGTGGGTGTGACCGTGGGTGTGGCCAGGGATGGAGCGGACGCGAAGATGCTGAGCTTGTCCTTTGCAAGCGGAGCCCTCCGAGCCAGGCCTGGCCTCCGGGGCGCGGGTGGGAACTGGCGGCCGGGATCGCTTTGCTCTAATGAGCTGAGTGATGATAACAATAATAACAACAACAACAAAAAAAACCAATCCAGCATTGTTTGTTTGTATGGCATCCTGAGGTTGCAGAGCTCCCTCCGTGCGTTAGGTCATCGTAGCCTCCCGACACCGCTATGGAGGTAAAGTCTGCCCATTTTGCAGATGAGGAAACGGAGGTTCAGAGAAGTTAAGAGGCTCTCTAACAACATGTGCTCTTTTTCTCTGGATGCTTTTCTGCTCACCAGCCTCCAGTCCTAGGCTAACTCGTCCTCTGTGATCCGTGGAGTTTCTTGCCTTATTTATTCTGACCTGCCTCACAAACTTCCAAACTCGGACTCTTGGAGGGTAATGAAAACTTTGTTTCCATTTGATTTGTTGTTTTTCTGCACGAACATTTAAAATAAATTTCTTGGTCATGTTAAATTTAAACTATGAGCTCTTGGCACCTGCAAAGACCACTGGATTTGGAGTCAAAGTACTGTTTCAGATTTTATCTAGGTCTGTCATTTGGCCACCTATGTGATCTGGGACAAATATGAAGTCCTTCAACCTCTCCAGGTCTCAGTTTCCTAATGAGGAGGCTGGGCTAGATGACCCTTCAAGTCCCTTCCAACTCTGAATCAGTGATCATATGAACTCTTTCTTTAATGATTATTGTCAGAGTAGGTCCATCGTGAATTCACGTGTACTTTTTCTGTGGTCTAGTTGGAAATGGAAGGATGGTTATGATCAAGATTTGAAATATTGAGAAAGCGTGTGACCAAGTCTAAGTATTTGGTCCTTCTTGCATCATCATCTTCTGGTCACCTAATAGAAGATGCAGTATCAATAAAGACCTTATTAAAAACTTTTTTTTTATCCTCAATAACAGTGGTAGAGCCAGCATATTTAGCCTCTGACATCTTACTGCCTGGAGAAAGCTAAGATGAGAAGAGTGAATAAAATAGACCTAGTATATACAGAGAAGGTCCCTGTGAAAGAGACAGTCTTGAGGAATTGATTCTCAAGGTATCTGAATGAGGGGAGGATACCAAAGGCATGTCAAAAAGTCTTAGACCTTAATATTAACACACACACACAAAATTGGGAGACTATCAGTAAATATCAGCCCATTGGCCTATATTCCCCTCTCTGTAACATTTTTATAGCAATAATCTACATATGCAACAAGGCCATCCTTGATGAAGGTATGAGAAGGGAAAAGGCGGTTTTCACCAAAAATGTTCTGTCTTTATAGTCATACAATTGACTGAAAAGTATAAAGGTTAGGAGAGCCACTGTGCTTATTGTTTTGTTTTGTTTTGTTTTTACTATCAAAAGGCATTTGATTTAATAAGGCAAGATACTTCCTTAAAGGCTCTTCTCTAAGAATGTACCCCCATGCATATGTCAAAATCCTACAATATCCCTTGAAAGATGTAACAACAGAGATAACTCTAATGACTCTCTGCTTTTTAATGTCAAATAAGTCATAAAACAGGGAGACATATGCTTGCCAGGAGTGCCATTGTAATGGAGAATTATCTTATGTTCAGAGCAAAGGATAAATGGAAGAAGGATTTTCCGTAGATGTTAAGGGTCTTCAGATGCACGTGTTTATGGAATACATTGCGCTAATTACATCAAGCCCCAGGATATTACAGCACCAACCAAGTGAAAGCTGTAATCGCTCAAAAGTTTTTGTCCTGATTCTTCACAGAATAAAACCTGGTGGAAGAAGAATTCGTATTATTCAGACTATGTTATGCAATAAAATAAACAATCAACAAAGCTTAACTATCTTGTACAAACATTGCAAATTGACAGTGAACTGTGCCCAAGAAGTAAACAGGAGATCAGACAGGATTACCTTTGGGGATCCTGTACAATGCTTTTAGTGATCCTGAGCTTCTTCTCAAAATTATTTCCTAGCTTTTTAACAGTATTTTCTTGGTGATGCCTGACTGAGTTGTCAAAATCCTCAAATTAAAGGGCAACAGAGACAGTATATGGTGGGTATGAGCTGACGATAGTATATTACCAGTGAAGAATTACCCAAGAGAAATATTGTAAACTAGAATATCATCAGAGATTTACAAATGTAAAAAAGATTAGGGAGAACTGATGGATAGCCCACAATCTCTGTGGTTACCCATACAATGTTAAGATCTAGAGATATCTCCTTCTCCTTCCCTTTCCCCTCCCCCCTCCCTGCCAGGTTGATTCTGCTGTGGAGGATTTATTTACAGAGGAATCTGGACAGGAGTTGTACAGATAGGACAAGAAGGTATGGATGGGCTTAAATCTTACAGTATTGGAGAAAGTACCCACGTCAGTGGAATCAGAGATCCATCAAAGGATCCAAGTTGAATTTCAAGGCGTTGCTGGCACTTATCAGTCTTTATTTCCTTCTCTTTAGTATTCTTAAAATCAAAACACCAATATCCTTTTTAATCAAGGAGAGAGCTTTGTTGAAATTTAAGTGTGTGACGTTATCTGGGAATGTTATGTTTTGGGAATATTATTAGAAAAGTATATAAGCAGGTAAGGTAGACACTTATATAAAACATACTTTAGCTTAGGAGACTCTGACCCCTTATAAAACAACCATCTTTATTTGAGAACAGGTTGCCCTGTGCTCATAAAATGATAATTTCATTGTGAGGACTGAGTAGCATGTTGGTGCATCTATTCTCTGAGACAGCAGAGTAATTTCCTTTTGGGCAAATGTTTGGCATGCTCATTCATTAATCCAGAGTACAGAAAAGGTGGGTGTCTCTTTAGAATCATGAATCATCTTGCCTTTGTGGCTGGATTCCACTTATAACCCTGGAATCTAAGCCTAAAGTCCCTATATCCTCTTTAAAGTGGTCATTTTAATAACTGGTACAAATATTGATTTGAGTTCATTGTTAACTAAAGTAATCTGTGTTCTGACATCTTTTGTTGTATACTAATTAAGCCCTGGGCTTTGTTAGCAGAAGTTACATTTTTTTTTAAACTAGTAAATCGTCTCAGCGACCAGGGTCAGTGATAAAATTCCATTTCTGAGCTATTGGCAGTGCAACTGTCCATTAATCAGTTTGAATAATTATGGAAGTCAAAGCAGTAAATCTCTTTATTGCCCCAAACAACAGGAATAAGATGTGGACATTTGTCGCAGCTGAACATCTCAACAAAAAATGTCTCAAATGTTTTTTTCAATAGTCTTCCAACTTGTACTTTTAGGGGTGAGTGCATGCGTGTGTGTGTGTGTGTGTGTGTGTGTGTGTGTGTGTGTGTGTGTGTG